AGGGGGGGGAAGAAGAGAGAAGGGAAGAGAAGGGGAGGGGAGGAAGGAGGAGGAGGAGGGGCAAGGAGGACGTAGAAGGAGGAGGGGGGAGAGGGATGGTGATGGTGACAATGTAAGTGCTTCTGTAAGCATGGTTTTCTGTAGATCCATACCCCCGCCCCCCGTCTTATTTTTTATGTGTCTGTCGAATGTCTGTATCCATTGAAAGCGAATGACAATTCTAAAAAATGTTTTTTTTTTAATTTTAATTTCAGGAAGTTTACACCACCAGCTTTTTTACAGCAAAAAAAATTCAAGAGAGCTGAGAGAATGCCATTTTGCTTTCAATGACACTTCAAGTGAGTTTTTGAATGTAAAAATGTGTTCGTACGTTAAATGTTGAAATTTCAGAAAAGTTTGGTGTCAAATATGCTTACTGTTACCATGGTGACACAGAATTGAGATTCACAATATGCCTCCTCACATAGTATTCATGCTGTTATTTGAAGTAGAGAGGTTCATAACGAATAATGCAGGGAGCCTTCTTTTCATTGCTCTGTGTGTGTGTGTGTGTGTGTGTGTATGTGTGTGTGTGTGTGTGTGTGTGTGAGCGCGTGCTCGTGCCTGCGCGGGTGCGTGCTTGCTTGCATCTGTGTGTGCCTGTATATGTGTGTGCGTGCATGTGTGCATGTGTATGTATGTGTGTGTGTGTGTGTGTGTGTGTGTGTGTGTGTGTGTGTTTGAGCACTAAATCAGCTGCTTGCGCTCTGTATACTTCCCGCAAAACAGAGAATGTTTCTTCTTAGTGTTGTAGGATCTGCTCGAGTAATAAGGTAGAGAAATTTGTCAAATTTATCTTGGTCATTTACAACGGCAGTGGAATGTTACAAAGGTTAGGTGCACTCACGCATACACACAACAAGACAGGACATTAGTAAAAATACATGTTTTACGAGCTGAAACAACCCGCTCTGTAAAGCATTCTCTCCGTCCCCCCCCTCTCCCTCTCTCTCTCTCTTTGTCTCTTTCTTTGTCTCTGTCTCTGTCTCTGTCTCTCTGTCTCTCCCTCTCTCTTATATTTGTAGCACTGTGTGTTCAGTAACCTCACTGCATTTGGCATGGATGAATTTCTATCTTGCTGTCGAATGGGAATATGTGCTATACATATGCTATAAAATTTATTAATATTGTTATTGGATACAGGGAATGATTTTGTACAAGTTTTTTAATAATAATAATAATAATAGATAGCATTTGTATAGCGCATATCCCCGCTCAACAACAAGCTCTGTGCGCTTTACACTATATTATTACCCCAGCAGACCATAGAACACTCCGAAACATTCTCAGCTTCCCGGGAAGCATACAGTGCAAGCAGCTGATTAAGCGCTCAAACACTAACAAACTGACAAGATCTTTCGCTGTCTATAGCCGGGTACCCATTTCCACCTGGGTTAAGTAAGGAAAATTTGTGTAAAGTGCCTTTTACCATTGCAACTACATGTATCTCTAAGTACATTGAATCTGCCCTAGTGGCCAACTGTATTAGACAATCGCCTGTACAAACAGCCACTCCCCCCCCCCCCCACCCTTTGTGTGCTTTTGACATTATGATAACACTGGTTAAGATGATGATGTGTCTAAGACAGCCACCAGCCACTTTTCTCCTCAACAATAGGTGGTCGTCTTAGACAATTTCGATTGAATATTCTATTACTACAATATCTCCCCGGTTATCGAACATTGCTTAAAAATTCTTAAAGACAAAAGTTACTCATACAGTTTGATGAGTATACGTACCATTATTATGATTATCACTACTATTATTGTTAGAATTATTATTTTTAATTATTATTATTATTATCATTATTATAGGAAGGTTAGTCTGACTGGGAAGAAAGAAAACAGAACAAAACTATGAATGATAAGATAGCACTGCAGTTATATCTCATCCAGACTCACAGTGTTATAACGAGCCTTTCTGTCAGGAGGTGTTTCTCAATGAGACGTGATTATCACCTTATTATTCTCAATAATAAATGTCATGCGGAAAAGAAGTGTTTGGAAAAACTAAAAAATTGTACACTGTTTTGATTTTTATTCATAGGATACAAGAACACAACTACAAATTTGGTGAGAAGTGTTCATTCACATTTCAGCACTTTATTATAAACATAACTTGATAATACCCATGACTTGTAGGTTGCAGGGGACTTAGCAATATTAGTATGGTCACGAAAAGACTCCCAGTTTTTTTCCCCCTTTTTTACCGTATTACCTGTGATCATCCTAATTGACTGCATTATATTGTTGAGGGTTTTTTTTCCATGGTATTTAGAAGGACCAATAGAAGCTGACACTGTGTCTGTGCCTGGCATCCATGAACTTGAAGAGATGTTGGGTCCTGATTTAATGCCTGGTGGCCACTTTGTACCAAGGTTATGCAGGTAATGCTGCATGGAAAAGTATTGATTTTTTTTTAGGCAAAAGATGATTCTAGTTCTTTTTGTGTGCTCAGTGAAAGAGTTTTAGAGTTTTACGAAAACTGGAAAAAATGTTGTGTAATTTGTAATCGATTGTAATGTCTAATAAATATATTGTAGTAAATCTTCCTCTCAGTCTGTTACAGGCTTATTTTTTTTTTAAAAATCGAAAACACCAACAGCATCATGCATTGCTACCTTTTCTTTTTCTTTTTGACATAGTCAAGGACATTTTAAATTACTCTGTGTGCTTTATTTATGCCGATGATACTGTGGATTATTTATTTTCATGAAGTTAACATGTATTGAAAAAGTGCTGTTTGTATATTATGTGCAGATCGTACAAGCTACAGGAACTGAAAACAATAGAATCATGTGTATACAATTTTCACTACCAGCACTCTCTGCACCACTGGGTTGTTCAGGTTCATTTATCAAAATTAATGATTTTCCGCAGAACAAAAGTTCCACTAAGCAGAGATTGCGAATTACACTGTAGTTGTTTCTTGTATGTTCCTTGTAGTCTATTACAAAAAAACCCCATATCATTAAAACAAGTTTTTTTTCCTTTAATAATAGGTCAAAGACGAAGGTGGCTATAATCATTCCATTCAGAGATCGCCGGATCCATCTAAAGATATTTCTGCGACATATGCACCCATTTTTGCAACGGCAGAATGTGGAGTATGGAATTTTTGTAGTTGAACAAGTAAGAAAAAAAATTAAATAATTACATAATATGTTCTAGATGCTCTAATTCCTTTTGAGTGTCCTTAGTTGATAAATGATTATTTCATTTTGTGCTTACAAACTCCAATAAAGTGGCAGATCAGAAATGTGCCCATTATTAATTCTTGATTACGGATCCCTGTAAGAACTCTACGATTTTCCTAATATGTCTACCTTTTATGCTAGTTGAGATTTGATTTCAGAATAGTGTATAGTGGATTTTCCTAATATCTCTACCTTTTATGCTAGTTGCGATTTCATTTCAGAATAGTGTATAACCACTTTATATCATACTTTAGATTTTAATTTAACTCATTTGCTACATATTATTTTCGGCTTGTGGATGAATTTTTTTCGAGAGGGCGAAATGAGATGATGACTAATGCGCAGTTCACAGGTCTTTGGGGCCATAATTTCAAATAAATATCAACATATTATATACCAACATTTTCAGTAGGGTTTGTAGAATACATCTGTATTATTTATTTGTGTATTTTTCAACTTTGGTTCCGTAAGAGGCGATTATGCAACACAATTGTGATTGGATGCAGATAAAATTGGAAAATACAAAATTTATAATCTCAGGTGAAACTCAAAAAATATCTTTGCATCTAGTCAAATGATACATCAAAATAACCATAAATGTATATAGAACAGGAAAATATTGAACAATGTGCAGTTATTTACATACATTCCATAATATTTGTTCTTTTGGATCATAACATCCGAAATTGAAAAAAAAAAAATTTTAAAATAATTTTGAAAAAAGGATCACAAACAGAAAAAGAAACGCGTATCTTATATGGAATTATTCAGAATTGCATTTGGAATAAACCTATACATGTCTTGAGTGGTACTTTTTGAGTAATTTCTACCAAAAGTAGTGATTTTGGGGAGAAAAAAATATTTTGACTATTTAGATCTAGGCCTAGATCTAGCTCTCAAAAATATTGATTTCTCAATCACAGTGCACAGGCAATTTGCGTCCAATAGTATCAATATTATAAAGAAGAGTCCTTCATTTTTTAGTAGGCAAAATAAGGATACATTTTGATGTGTAAAAGTACTAAGGCTATAATTTGGGCTTTGCGATAAAACAAAGTCGAATAAACTACGAAATCGTGTTTCAAAACTGAATCAAAACTTCCGATTTTCGGTGGAAACGCTTGACCCGGAAGTCAACATTATTATGACCTTTATTTTAACATGGATATGTGGATTGGAATAGAAACCAAACTAAAATTGAACGTCGGTTCTCAAGCCGCCGGGGGCGGCTTAGCGTACTGACGGCACTTTAGTCGCGCCGCCCCCCACGGCTCGGCGTAGTGAATGAGTTAACAGACCTGTTTGTGTATGTTGACTAAATTTTGAATTACTTCCCGCAGGAAGGAGTTACCCCATTTAACAGAGCCATTCTGCTAAACATCGGTTATGTGGAGTCTGAAATGCTGCACCACTATGACTGTTTTATCTTCCATGATGTTGACTTGCTTCCATTAGATGATCGAAATATATACGCCTGCTCAGAAAATCCCGTCCATCTAAGTGCTTCCATAGATACACATGATTTCAAGTGAGTGAATGAATGAACATGAAAAGAACTTCAATTCAAACTGAACAAAGTACAGTCCACGCCGGCTTTAAGCACGGTCATCAGGAGAAAGCATAAGCGTGCTTAATGACGAAGCGGGCTTGAGTGCGAAGTAGATATAATCCAGAGACTTTCATGTAGAAAATTTCCTGTGCTATATCCCTTTGTTTGTAAGTAGGCCTATAGCGGTCCCGCAAAAGTGTTCACTGTTATTTTTACCCGCCATGGTAGTTTTCTTTTGTTTGTTTGTTTGTTTTGTTTTGTAGTTGAATGGGAAATGAAAACTTAATTTAGACAGCCAGACACGATACAGCACACTAGGCCTACACACTGCCTGTGCGTACCACTGGCCGCTGTGCCACATTCATACCACTGCCTTCATCCCCCCCAAAAGAGCACACGGTCGTCGATTGCACCACGTGCGTGATACCAAATCAGGATAATCGGATAGGGAGGTGCAATAAGGTGAAATCACGGCCTGCCTCCTTTTGTCGCCTCCCCGACTCTCTTTGCATTTTTTTTTGTCTGTGTGTAGCTTTGCCCTAGGCTAGATCCTATGTCCGTGCACGTGGCTGTGTACATTTCTCTGCCTTCCTCTCCGCACGTGTATGTGTCCATCACTTCCGTTCTTTGTGTTTCTCTTAACGCACTCACAGCTGCGGCGTAGACTGTGTTCAAACTTTGATGGGTCATCATGAAAGTATTGACTGTCTTGTAAATGAAGTGTGCCTGAAGCCGAAGTTACCGTGCTTAAAGGCGTGTAATTTATATAGCAAAAATTCGGTAAGAGCCGTTTAGCGTGCTTGAGTCCGAAACATGCTTTATGCTGGCGTGCTTAAAGCCGGCACGGACTGTATGAGTAACCAATGATGTAATCAGTATATGACTAAAATGTTTGTGTTAATAAATAATTGATATGTACTTATTTTGCCATTGTAAGATGATGTGAGAACTATGATTAAAGACAAATTGGGATAGAGCTTGAAAGCTGGAAGATACCATTTCCAATTTCCAAATGACAACTCTTATACTTTGCTACTAGTTTACGGTAGCATTCATAATGTTGTTATTGATGAGACACAGACATTGGAAAAGATTTATTTTAGCAATAGCTGCTTGAAAATGAGTCTTTCTTCAGCCTTTTGTTCTTTTTTAAAAAAAAGGATATATTGAAATGGTTACAGTAGTATCATTGTGCACAGATGATGTGACTCTAAGAAAGTTAAAAAGATCAGTTTGTGCAGTAATGTGACATCTTTTGTCATTGATACATCGTTATTAATTAATTGTGAACTTTGGTCTTTAGAAACGTGACAGTTTTCAACTGTGACTAGTTGCATTTTGTGAACACCTCATTTGTCCCAGAAAAGAGACATGTAGAGTCTAGTGCGCACACAGCAAAATTGGCAGGATGCGGAAATCTTTTCGTTATTTACAAATTTCGCAATGTACATGTTTTAACTATAAAGAATATAAATGAGTAAGAAAAAAATTGGGAACCTGAAAATCTGTTCTCTAAATGTATTTTTCTCTCTTTACGTGTCCACTGTGTGCCTGTTAGACTCAATACTTATACAAACACTTTTTAGAATATCTTCTTCTCAGATGTAGGCCTTCACATTACAAATTATGAGCAAGTTTTATTTAAAGTGCATGATTTGAAATTGTTACATATGTTCTTTGCTCAGACTGATGTACAACAACCTATTTGGTGGAGTCTCTGCACTAACCAAAGAAATGATGCTGAAGGTCAATGGGTTCTCTAACATATACTTTGGCTGGGGAGGTGAAGACGATGATATGTCATACAGGTAAAGTAGGCCTTTATGCGGAATTGTAAGTAAATGTTCGAATGTTGAAAACACTGTAGGTTTCCATTCTCGTTATCAAGGTAGGGTGGTTTTAAAAATGACTGATGAAAAATTGGCACGCTGTAACTCACAGGTATTACAAAGTGACGTGTATGTATTCATATTTTCATCTCTTCAATTTAAAGGAAATATAAAAACTACAATTGGAATATTTTTTGTTGGCAGCTTTTAAAATATAATTTGAATTCCTGTTGAGCATCTATATATGTGTGGTTTGGCATTCAATGACCAAACTTTCCAAATGATATCCACCTGACATGTAAAAAAAAATGCAAAAGGGACATACCTTTTCAAAATCATTGACTTTTATTATGAAAAGTTGGGTACATCAGCTGATTTTTTCACTGCATTCATGTTCAGTGTGCAGTGTATGACAACTAAACAAATACTACAAATTAATTGAATGGACCACTGAATTTATACATCTCAACCATATAATACGAACTCTTATTAGTCTTATGACATCCCTGGTTGCTGGCCTTTGCCACTGCACCCTGATATGAGGTTCTATTTAGGTTTGTACAAGTTCCCTTGCTTTATGTAAAATATCTCTAGTCTGTTCTGTATCCTCTGTTTATGTGGTGTATTTTTGTTACTTTTTCCAATTACAGAGTGAGAAGTCATGGTATGGATATCGAACGGTACATTCCAGAGGTTGCCAGGTACACAATGATGAAGCATGCCAAGGCAGATGGACCAAGCAGGCGAGTCCAAATTATTCTTCCACCTGGGGACATTTGTTTATAATATGTATGGCTAATTGGTATTAATTGGTTGTATATATTTTAAACTCCCAGCGACACAATTTAGATCATTATGAGACGGGGTTTCTGCGACCCGCCTTTCACAGCCAACCTGGGCTGAGTAGAATACTAGCATCTTAACAGACAAAAATACTTGTGCTTTGTAGAATGATTTTCCATGCAGACATTGAACTCCTTTTGAACTCCTATCCTATAGGCACAGCATTGAAGAGCCTAACCGTTACAACACGGCTGCTCTTATAATTGTATAGTTAACTCACTGACTACGGATCCCGTCATGGGTACGGGGTGGACTGTCGGTTCGCAGGTACGGATCCCGTACCCCTGACGGGATTGACTTTGCGGTTTTGTTCCGTATCTTGTGCTCCCGTCACATGAACAGGAATGGACTCCAGTGCTAGTTTTGCCTCTTGTTTCGTTTCGTGCTGAGTTTGGCTAAAGTTTCGTGGTAACTTTTTAAGCAATTGAAGGTGAAGGACAGTCACCTCATCTGGGGTTGACCTGACCGGAACTCGCGCTATGTTTTTTCTATAAAAATGATAGTAATCCGACAGTCTCATTGAAGTAATGGTCGCATGAACAAGAATCACATAATTTCGCTGTTTTCGATACTTCTGTACATTTTGCTAGTTCTAGTGACTCAGGATATGATGTGTCTGATAGTTAGGACCCTGGATATGTACCCGAACATGGCCTGAGTCGTAGTTTTAGGGCTAGATCTAGCACTAGTACTGTTGTTGTTGTTCGTGCGACGAAATCACAACTTCGTTCCTTACATCTGTCTCATGTAATTCAGTGTATGGGTCTGAATAAACGTACAGACCAGCTTTTATATTTTCACCAAACACTCACACATGGATACAAATCAAAACAGAACACTTTGAACTTTTATTTTTGTTGTTTTTGTGAATTTCATTCTATCTGTCATGTCTCTGGAAATTTTTAGAAAAATCAAATTCATTCCAATTTTGAAACAATGATAAGAATTAAAGTATTAGTCCTAGAGAACTTAATTTTTTTTGCAATAGATTAAGTTTGAAAGTTACTTTACTGTTTCAAAAAATAATTACAATAGGGTAATTCTGAGAGTTGTGGTGGTGTTTTGAAATACCCCCAAAAATGCCAGTACTCAGCACTAGTGATTCGTGAAAGGGGCCAGTCATCAGTGAGTTAAACGAATAGAGACTAACATAAGATCATGCAATGTAAAGAACACTGGTGGTTGATGCTTAAGGCTTAGGACTTAATTGTGCCCATAGATAAAAAAAGAAACCTTATTGGTTGGCCCCATTAGTGAATGCTGTCATGTACTCTCTCCATCTGCTCTTGATTTTTATTCGAATATTTCACTCTGAAACTATATGATACTTACATTGACTTACATTACAGTGTTTTGTGCACTTGCAGACGTACTAATACTGGGGAAGTCTTAAAAAAGGTCCATATTGTGTTTGAAATATTTATGAATTACATGAATGCTAATGTAGTATTACTTCTTTCTTTGCCTTTTTTTGCCTCCTACACCTCCTTCTTTTCTCCTGTATTCAGACAAATAAAAGTAGAAACATAAAACTAAGGACCTTGACCAATAATCATATATATGAATGCTATAATATAGAGACTAGAGAACTTTGTGTTATTTTAAAATCTTATTTCTCTTCAGATACCGACTGTTCGCTTCAAGTCGTGATCGGATTCACTCTGATGGCATAAATACTTTGAAGTACGAAAGAATAGACATACAGCTGTTGCCTCTGTACACATGGATATTAGTCAGGATAAATGAATCAGAAATACTGGAACCCTTTGGGTTATAGTATACATAAGGAAGTACTAAAAGTAGGCTACTTGGAGGAGGGACTTACATTCCGATGTAAATGAGATGGAATAAAGCTGGATAGAGGTGGAGACTTTAGCCAAGAACAAAATTACAAGGAGAACTCTTATTGGTGGCCTATACTCTTGCAAAGAGTGAGAAAAGCTGATGGTAATGAAATAGATTACAGAAGTTTAATGTTCCCATAAACACAGTTTAGATCATTTAGAAGGCAGAATGATAACGATATACTTAAGGTAATTAATTTTTGTGTGTGGGCCTATTGACTGGAGTGAAAGTGAAAGTTAATCTGACAGATCTGAGAGAACACCCGAAGGTGACTACATTTACCCTTCTGTGCACTGAAAGCACATCTGCCTCAGCGTATTGTGGTGTGTATTATATTTCAGCCAAGGTGCAGAAACCTGGGTGCACAGGTCCAGTAAGGTCAAGGGGACCGTGCCCAAAGAGTTAGTACAATGTATCTCTGTATAAAGCTTCTTACAAACTAAAAAAAAGCGTCTGTATAAATTTTGTTAAACAGTGAAAAATGCTTTCTGCATAAAGCTTTTTACTAATTGAAAAATGCTATCTTTATAAAAACATTTTACAAAATGAAAAACAAAAAATGAAACGGAATGTTGTATCATGCTGTGCCTTTTGTGCTCATTTATCTTGTGATAACTTCAGTTTTGTTCCTGAACTTCCAGTTTGTACTCTGCTTTATTGCCTTAATATCAGATATGCACATAATTTTCTTTATCCTGAAAAATATATATGTAATAAGATTTATAAGATAAGATGAGCAACAGCCCTCTTTATTAATCCTCTACAAGAAGAAATTAACAGTGTCCAGTATGGTGTAGTTGGAAAGAAAAAAGGAGGGGTGTTGGCAATTACAGTTTAGCATGCACATTGTGAAAATGTAGAGCTCGATTTGAACACATTTTCATGTATGCACATTTGAAATATAAAGAATATATATATTTATTTTAAAAAACTCTGGGACCTGAAAATCTGTTCGCTATGTTCTTGTTTCACTATTTGCATGGTGGCTGTGTGCGTGATGGACTACTGTGCATGTTTTGATCTCAAATGTTGGATGTTACTTCATTTCATTATTTTATTTTATGGTGAAAAGGTTAAGTAGGCTACTTGTCTGTGATGAGAGTTGTACTCGGAACACAAACAAGGGTAAATATATATTTAAGGGAATGTGTGAGCGTGTGTGTGTGTGTGTGTTTGTGTGTGTGTGTGTATGTGTGTGTGTGTGTGTGTGTGTGTGTTCGCGCATGCGCACGTGTGTGTGTGTGTGTGTGTGTGAGTGCGTGAGTGTATGTGTGCGTGCACACGTGCGTGCGTGTGAGTTTAAGAATGTGCACAGTTTTTCATTTGTACACATTAGGGGATGTGTGCATTTTTATATGTTGACTACAGTGTCAATGGTATAAAAAATGTAGTGTTGTCTGTTTTTATAGATGTTGTGCAGTGCCTTGAAATTGTGTGGCATTTTAGTAGATTAGAATTGGTGTTTTTATCATGTACTTTCTAATGATGATGATGTTGTTGAATAAAGAGTAGGCCTTAAAAGTAAGCTCAAATGTACAGATTATATCAAATATATACATAAATAATTTCCTGAAATATTTGATGTCTTTGAATGATTTTTAATCTTTTACATTGTTGTCATATAGTCTATGCCAAGATGCTTTTACAATAAAGACATGAACATTCGATTTCCCAATGTTTTTATTGGATAAAAAGAAATTTAAAGATATCTTTGCTCCAGATGCATGATATACTTCATTTTATGAAATTTATAGCTTGTTTTATAGAAGATAACTAGGCCAAAGGGCTAGAATTCAGATGGCTGCTAGATTAGAAAAGTAAAGCTAAGTAAAGTAAAGAATAGAAGAAAACATTTTTTTCGGCCTTAAGATTTGAGTTTCTGTGTCATGTATTAAAAGAAACATGTCTATCCTTTCTTTTTTTTACAAAGATGGTAACTGGAAAGGCAAGACTTCCTAATCAATCAGTATTCAGTATGCTTGTGCGGAGACTATTAACTTTGTGAAACTGAGAATGTATGGGAAAGAAAGACCTTCCCCATACCTCTTGTAGTAGTTTCAGGGGAAAAAATGTTCATCCAAACACTTGCAAAATGACCAGCTTTAGAAATTGCTCTCTATGTTAGAGGTTTAAACCAAAGTTGTTCCATGATAATGACTTGGTTTCCATTAAGTATTTTAAACTTTATGCAGTTCCCATTCCCCAAAGATATAAAAACACATTAATTTGCATCACAAACACTTATGTGTTTGGTTTGAAATGTTTGGAAGTCATTAAAAAAACAAAACAAAGGTAGCCTCATAGACTAAGCTGGGGGTCTTTGAAAGTTTTAACATATAAACCTGTGTGGTGATAAGCCATCCCTGCACACAAAAATCCACAAGGTAGTAGATGTTGAACACATTTGGAGTGGAGCAAAAAAAAAAAAAAAAGGTTTCTTTTCAAATGCAACACATTTGGCCCTTCTACAAGCATACCTCAACTGTTCATGCACTGTCATGTTTAATATGTGTAGGCCCCTACTGACGTTGTAGTGTTGGAGAATTTATTCAATTCAAGGATACTTTTTGAGGAGTAATCTGAATATAAAGTTGATTGCTGATATTCTGTGGTTGGTTGCATCATTTGTCCTTACAGAGAGGGTAGTAGGGGCCTACTGAGTGCACACTGCCAGTCGAATTCGGATGCAGTGAGTTGGGACCAGCCAGATTTTTCCCCATGTAGGGTTAAAAGCTGCCATTTTGGCACAGTTGGACCAAATTCAACTGAATTTAATTGTGATCTTAAAAATCCTAGTTGTTTGTTTTTCAAGGTGGCAAGTCAAATCGATCGTTTCTGAAAAGTTGGTATTATGAGTATTGAAGCTATTGTATGCATGTATGAAAACTTGTACCTTACTAATATTATATTATCAACAGTAAAACTGGACACAACAAAATGGTGAAATTAAATATATAGGCATTGATTTGGCCAAAAGGGGTTAATGTATTTAATATATATATTTGAGGCCTTATGAAAAAAATGCTGAAGCAAAAAGAGAAACCTGAAAGCCGCGCACACCCATGAGTGGATACGAAGCTTTTAAATGCTAAAAACTGTTGCAAACTTTTCTCTTCAAGAATTGGTCTCATTGGTCATAGCAAAAGCCACAAGTTATGTAAACCTATATGTGAGGCAGCGTGATGGAATCAGGCGCTCATCAAAATAGTGAAGGTAAAGAAATTGGCACTCTTCCACTTGTTTGGCAATTTTTACCAAAATTTTGTGTTTTTGCTCAACACCTTTTAGGTCCTTTTTAGAAGCCATTTCAGTGTGAATTATATTGAAAAACGTTGATTACACAAAGTGTAAATTGTCAGTTTCGACGGACTCTCAGGTTTTGCAAATAACCAATCTTTGGTGGCCATTTTCTAGCAAATTCCACCTTTGAAACCAGGCGACCCCCACCTCCTTCAATTGCAAAACATCTCAACTTGTATTTAAAGATAAATGGGTATTTCTTTCATCAAAAGCAAGGCGAATGAACAAGCTTTAAGACAATACCAATAATTTCCCATGCCTAAAGACTGACGAGCGCCTGATTCCACTGCGTCGTGATTCATATTTCTTTTATTTTACTTTAAAATATTCTCCTTTGCAGATGCATTGGTCATTGTCAGACATTGACAGACAAACTATCATTATTATTGTCATTATTAGCCTATTGTTGTTATTATTATAACTGTAGCCGATTGCTATTTATATGGTAAGCTTAGGCCTATATAATAACTACAGTCGAACCTGCCCTGACGGCCACCTCTATAAGACGGCCACCTGTGCAAACGGCCACTTTCCATTTCCCCCCTTGCGTTTTTTCTATATAATTTAACTGTGTAAAACGGGCACCTGTCCAACACGGCCGCGGCCACCATATTTTAACACACAACCCCTATCACACTAAGCAATAACACCTGTCTTAGACGGTCACCTTAGTGGCTCCATTACGTTTTGTCTCAAATTGTGCACTGGCCCCTGGCGTTGTGGGGGAGCCGTCATAATTCAATCACCTCCAACTGATCATGTTAGGTAGGCCCCTCCCACTGTTGACCAATAGGTACCAATCTTCAGCTGCTGGTGAGGTAAGCGTGTGATAAAACATAAACCCCGCCCAGAACTCATACACAAATCGTAAGTGAGATGAGTGGTCACTGTTTGCCCAGTCTGTAACAAAGAAACAATGGACGTCAACATGAACTTGTGACAGAAGCGTCGCTCGTTCTCTGAGTGGTGGCGACCATGTGTTTGTTTTAACATGGTACTCAGTCTTCCCCGTCTGATACATTTCGTTTTATTGTCACTCTTGCACAAAATCAGCAACGAAATAAAAATAACAAACAAAATACAAACCAACAACAACAAAAACAAGAAACAAAGCGGCTACTTTCGATTGGGACTTCGGATGGGAATGGTTTGCTTTCTTCATCTTGATTAGTCCTGCCTAAGACGGCCACCTGTCTTATACGGCCACTTTTCTCCTCGACAATGGGTGGCCGTCTTACACAGGTTTGACTGTATTTCAATAAAACTGCTTATGTGGAGAGGGGGGCACGGTAAAAAATGAGTAGGATGACAGAGAACACAACACAGTTGGCTGGAACAGTTTTATGACAAAAAACAGGTTCGCAAACAAAAATTTGTGTTTTCGAACCACATTATATGAGGGGCCTGACGTTGTGTCCTTGGAAAAAGCACATTACACAAAGTTTTTTTCCTCCACCCAGGTGGGAATGGGTGACTGTCTATAGCCTGCAAAAGATCGTTTCAGTTTGTTAGTTTTTGAACACTTGAGCGGCACTTGCATATATATGTACTATGCTTTCTGGAAAGCCGAGAATGTTTCTAGGGTCTGATGGGGTAATAATAGCCTCTAGATTGCAAAGCCAATGAAGCTTGCTGATGAACGGGCATAGGCCTATGCAGTATACAAATGCTATTTTATTATTATTATTATTATAAGAAAAACAGAGCTGATCGGGAGACTGACAATAGGAAGGACTGGGGAACCTTGATCACCAATGTCTGCTCCAGATCTGGCTCCTGAAGAAGAAGAAGAAAAAGAAGCAACAACAACAACAACAACAACAATTCCGGCAGTGGCATATCTTTGGGGAGGATTCAGGGAGGTTGGACTGCCTCACCCGCTACCCAAGCGATGCAGTGGCCCTGGCGAAGAGCACGCTCTTCGGGGCTCCAAACATTTCGAAAGAACAGGCTACCTGACTCACGTACACACATACAACAACCACAACAACAAACAACAACAACAAGAAAAAGAAGAAAACAAGGAGAGGGGATTATCATATTTCAAGAGTAATTCACAGAAAGCCTTTATAGTTGCTCAAGCTAATATTTCTGCAAGCAAAGTTAAATCTAGGCATACGAGCTATTTCAACAAGCATATGTACAATAATATTTTGTACTTTACTTTGCATAGACGTTTTTGAATTGAAACTCTAAGTTTTTATAAATTTATAATTTATTTCAGAGATGCATAAAGAAGAGGAACATAATTTCGCTCTTTTTTCAAAGCTTTGCATGTCAAGAATTATCCAGGGGTGGAAAAGACAATTTGAAGGATAAATTGTTTACAATTTTTTTTTAATGTAGTTTTTGATACAATAATCAACCAATTTGTATCAATACAAAAAATTCGACTATATTTTGTCCCGGTTCCTAGAGGGAATAGTTTTACTTTTACTTTTCCGAAAAGAAAGAATTCTATGATAATAGTTTACCTTGACAATGATGGCTTCTTTTACTTTTAGTGTAAGTTTTATTCGATGTTCGATGAATAGGCTACTTTCGGAAGAAATTATTCTTCTATGTGGTGTGCCTACAATATTTAGCTGATATGGCTTGGTATTGTTTAATTAGGTAAAGTGGTGGAATACCCATCCCCTCCAAAAAGTGAAGGCAGAGAGTTATATGGATCCCGATCATGGCAGCGATTGCATCGGTGGTAACAATTTACTTCTTGTACTTGTAACTCAAATCGTTGTTGCAATAAGATCTAGATCTAGATCTAGATTCTAGATTAGTTGTCGATTGTGCCAATTTTTCTTTGACACAGGTCTTTTCCCGTCATGTCGGAAGCGTTATTTAAGCCTCAGGGTTCTTAATTCTAATTTCTGCGACACGGATCTTTTCCCAGTATGTTGGAAGTGTTGTTTTTAAGGCTTAAATTTAAGGCTCAGATTTAGGGTACTGAATTCTGGTAAGAGCTTCTTTTGCCCACTTAATCCTAATTTACGCCAGCTAATGCCCATAATCCACCCTTTACTTATACTTACCCTGACCCCGCTGTACTAAATTCAGGCAAATCTATGAACTTATGATGGACTAGATCTATGTCAGTATGTGTTTATTATGTGTATCAACGCCTATAACATATCAGGGAGGGTGTACTTGGCATTGAAATGCAATGATTTGCCTCTGACGAGGTGAAGCTAGCAGTAGAGAGTTCTCAGTTTTACATAGAAGACTGTCTCTGATTCAATTTGCAGTGCATATTCGTGTATCTTTTTTAAATTATAGTATCTGCTGTTTATAGAGAGAATTATAAAGAGAGAATTGTATATCGATACATGTGTCACGACGCAGTGGAATCAGGGGCTCATCAATTTTTGGGCATATGGTTTTATTGATATCATTTTAAAGGTTGTTCCTTGCTTTTAATGAAAAAAATATCCATTTATCAAGAATAGAAGTCGAGATATTTGCGATTGAAGAAGGTGGGATTGCCTGGTTTCAGAGGTAAAATTAGTGAGAAAATGGCCGCCAAAGTTTGGTGACTTCCACAGCTTAAGAGTCCTTGGATACTGCAAATTTACATTTTTTGTATCTTTAATCAACATTTTTCCATTTTAATTTCTCACATAAAAATGTTTTTTAACTCATTCGCTATGTATTATTTTCGGCTGGTGGACGAATTTTTTTCGGGAAGGCGAATTGAGATGATGATTAGTGCGCAGTTCAAAGGTCTTTGGGGCCACAAATTCAAATAAATATTAACATATTATGTACCGAAATGTTCAGTATGATTTGTAGAATACATCTGTAAAGTTTATTTGTGAATTTGTAACTTTGGTTCCTGTAAGAGGCGATTATGCAACACAATTTTGCTTGTATGCAGATAAAATTTGAAAATAAAAAATTAATCATCTTCGGTTAAACTCAAAAAGTTGTTTGCACCTTGTCAAATGATACATCAAAATAACCATAAATGAATATAGAATTGGAAAATATGGAAAAATTTGCAGTTATTTACATACATTCCATAAAATTTGCACTTTTGGATCATGACATCCGATTTTGAAAAAAAAAAAAATTTATAATCTTGAAAAATGGACAAGATGTATTCACAAACAGAAAACCCCCCACTAGCATTGTATATGGAATTATTCAGAATTGCATTTGGAATAAACCTACACACGTCTTGAGTGGTACTTTTTGTGTAATTTCACAAAAAATTGTGATTTTTGGGAGAAAAAAAATAATTTGACAATTTAGATCTAGCACTGAAAAATATTGATTTCTCAATAACAGAGTAATGGCAATTTGAGCCCAATTGTATTAATATTCTAAAAAATAATCCTACATTTCTTTAGTGTGCAAAATAATGATATATTTTGTAGTGTCAAAGTAGTAAGACTGGGGTCTGGGCTATAATTTGAGAATCGCGATAAAACGAAGTCGCATAAACTTCGAAATCGTGTTTCAACCCGGAAGTCAACATTATATTATGACCTTTATTCTAACATGGATATGTGGATTGGAATAGAATCTACACTGAAATGGAAGATCGGTTTTTGAGCCGCCGGGGGCGGCTTAGCATACTGACGGCACTTAAGCCGCGCCGCCCCCCCACGGCTCGGCGTAGCGAATGAGTTAATGGGCGTACAAGGTGTTGAGTCAAAAAACAAAAGGCCGAATTTATTCAAACTGGACGAAAAATGCTGGGGTTTTTAAAAATTTCATTATTTTGACGAGCGCCTGGTTTCACCACGATGCCTCTCATATGTGGACAGCAGTGAACGATCTGTTGTCAGAGAAGAACAATATCAGTGATTGGCACAAGAGCAGGTTATGTTTATGAATATATGGGAGATGTGGTGATTTTTATAATGGATTAAGACTGCAAACTTATTTCTGAGTTTAAATTTAATCCAATTATTTTTCAAAGTTTTATTGGTGTCTGATCACTGTGAATTGTTATCAGTTTCTTGTATTATGTGTTTTTTTTAGGCTGATGAACTCATCACTGGCATTTAAACTATCTTTTGAATTGTTTTCTAATATCTTAGGTGTGTCTTTGAAGCGATTTGATGATTTTGCATCTGTTGGGCTGCCAACTGTTTTGGACATGAATTTTGAAGTGCAAGGAACAGCTAGTCCTCGCAGCTACCAGCGCCATTTGCCAGGTAGCGCAAGAGGCAGACCACAGTCAGCAATAAATCCAATTACAGTGAGTTTATATTGTATTATTCAATATCAAAGATATACAGTCGAACTTGCTCTAATGGCCACCTATAAGACAATTACCTTTACAAATCGCTATTATTCCCATTATCCCCCTTTGGTTTTTTTTACACTAAGGACATTGTGTAAGAATTCTACCTGTTTCAGATGGCCACTTTTCTCCTCAAAAATGTGTGGCCATCTTAGACAATTTAGACCGCACATGTTTTTAATAAGTTGTGCATTATACTACATACTACAGTGGAACTCGGATTCAACGAGGTCGCCGGGCCTGACCTAAAATCTCGTTGAATCTGAGTGTTCGTTATTGCAAACACGAGGTTTTGTGTAGATAATTACAGGCACTGAGCAAGTAATGTATAAAAAGAAGTCACAAGTAGTGCCTGAAATGCCTGCATATTATGAGCTGTGTAAAAAAATTCACACGCCTGTACATCTCGATTGTTATCCAAAAAGTCGTGTTGCTGTGTAGAGCCTAGCTTATGGCAACTTTAGATTCCATAGACCAGCGCAGAATTCATTTCGTAGATCTACGTCAAGACTAGCTTACCATTGTAATAATGATCAGTTGCCGAGGGAAAAAAAAAGTACGCCTGGACCACTACCCCCCCTCCCCCCCCGACACGCACACACAGTCACACGTGAGCAGGCCGCCCATCCAATCCCGACACACACCAGAGTAGATATGTGCGCGTGCCAACAATGCATGTGTTGGTACAATAAAAGGTTGCTGATTGGTCACATGCAATTGGCTTAGTGAATAATGGTTCATGATGCAGGTGCAATGGATGGTTTCCGGGAATAGATAAAGTTTGTTCCGGGAGAAAAATGAGCGAAGCCACGTCTGCGGGGGCTGTTCACCCTGAAAGCGCCCTCGTTAAATCCGAGCTTGCTGATTAAAGTGTTCGTTGAATCCAGGTTATTTTTATTGATTTTAAAGAAGAAAAAAACCCCCGGGGAATCTATCGCATCTCGTTGAATCCGAGTTCCACTGTATGTCTATAGACAAATAGTATGATCATGAGAAAACAATATACCTGTAAATGGCTTGTCTGTTGTGCTAGTCCCAACACTTGGTTGCCAAAACAGAAAACGTCTCTCACCCATACTTTACAGCTTGTTATAAAATGCTATTTTTGTGCACTTACTTGGTGTCTGATATTAGAACTCATTAGGGTCAGCTTTTTTATTTAGGACTACATTTTTGCAAGTGAAGAAAGACTTCTCAGTGTAGTTCATTTATTATAAACGGTAGATGATGATTTCATCTGTGAACACGGATTAACAGGGACAATGAATGATACAGGTACAACATAACATGAAATAATATGGGGTACACCACATAACATACAGAGAACATGAACTAATATCATATAACAAATAACCATACATCCCCCCAAGTTCATGGCATGTTCAGATCTTTCCTAACCCCCTCTGCTCCTGAGGTTTGACCGCTTCCTGTAACCCCTCTTTATTGTGCAGGAGAAGGAGTTTCAGGGCTGCGGGAAGACTTTTCTTTGCCTCCTGAGGTGCCTCTGGGGGTTGGGGCTGAGGGGAAGGGCTTGGGGCAATCCTTTGCTCCTCATTGACTGGCTCAGTCGCAAACTCATGTCCCGTATTGATTTCCTCCTCCAAAGGCAGAGTAACCATGAAGTCCTCTGGGCTGTTACGTGCCGGTGCCGGTTGTATGGTCGAAGTGGCAGGCTGGAACTGGCGAAGGAAGCGCCGGTTTCTTGACGTCAGCCGTCCTGAGCCATCAATCTTGACCACGTATTGGTCATTGGGGCCGGTTTCGACAACCAATCCTGTTTGGTCCCATCTTTTAGGGCTACTGCCAGTCTGGTTCTGGACAAAACATCTGTCCCCAATGGACATCTTGGGCAGGTTTCTTGAGTGCTCGTTGAGCTTCTCAGATGTTTTCACGAACCTTGTCCGTAGCGCAGTTTCCTTGGCTGCCCATGCCTCTCTCCAAATGGGCTGTATGGCTTTATTATGGTACTTTTCAAGCCTATTCACAAAAGAGAACATGTCTCTGATCGGACGCCCGAAGACAATCTCGGCAGGTGAAAGCTTGCAATCAGGGTCTGGGGTGTTCCTAAGTTGCAGAAGGGGTTTCAAGAATTTGTTGCTGTCGGGACTTCCACGGCTGTTGTTCCTGTCTGAGAAACGCTGGCTTTATTTGTGAGAGACGCCAAATCCACTGAACATGAAATCATCATGAAGAAAGACTACTCAGTGTAGTTCATTTATTATAAACAGTAGATGATGATTTCATCTGTGAACATGGATTAACAGGGACAATGAATGATACAAGTACAACATAACATGAAATAATATGGGGTACACCACATAACTTACAGAGAACATGAACTAATATCATATAACAAATAACCATACAGCAAGCAAATTGTTTTTCTCAAGAATTTATACCCTGCTTAGTAAGAGGTCCCTTTTATTCTCACACTCACACGTACACACACACACACACACACACACACACACACACACACATATATATATATACACAAACACACACACACACACACACACAAGCACACACACACACAAACTCACATACACACACACAAGCGCACACACAAACACATGCACAAACACACACACACACACACACTCACACAAACTCACTTACACACACTCATGTATAAATTATGTCACTTGTCCAATCAGCAAGCTTTATGTATTTCTAGGTTTTTTAATGGAAAGTTATGCAGCAAAAATGTAGGCTATATTTATAACATATGTATAGTTGGAATCATGTTTACAATGGTCAGGGTGATTTTATTTCAATAGAATAAGCTATCTCAAGAGCAGTTGTAAACTACCTTGATTGAAAAACTAATTTAATTTTTATTTTGTCTCTTAGGGAGAGGAAATTTGTTATCAGCCTACACCAAGAAAAACAGAAAAACCTAAAGGACCTGTTTCAAACGGAAAAGGAGAGTAAGCATATATTTTCTACTTGTAAGACCTTATATCTCACATGTTGCTAATCCTTTCTAAGTGCTGAGACTCAAAATACTGGAGTGGGGTCAGTCTTGAGATTGATCTAGTTCTGAAATCACTTCCTGGGACCTTAGTTATATGTTTTTAAGATGCTTGTTTTTGAAATGACAAAATGACAGTGTGCAATTAAAGTATTGTCCATACATATGTGTCTGATCTTTCAGAACTGAGGTTTTAAATTGTTTTCAACTCTAATATGGCCTCATCAGAAAATGTTATTCAGTGTGCACCAGATTCTAATCTCAAATTCTTTGGACTATGTTGATTAGGATAACAGAAAGAACTTGGATTTTTTTTTTTAGAGTGGCAACTTATGAGACATGATGGATCCTACTGGTCACATTTGTCTTTCTATGTACCTGTTCATATATTAGTTCATTGAACCCAGTATACCCTGTAAAAGAAAGGTAATGAAAGACATAAGTAATTTTACACAGTTATATCTATTTGGTAATTTTTTTTCAATTGTATGATAATTGTTTTGCACGTAATTACTGGTGAAATGAAACATGCTGAAAAGTAATCAGAAATTTGAGTCTTTTTTGCTTTGAATGAATAGATAAAATCCTCTGGGTGTATTGTCATCAGGTGAAATACATCACATACATAGAGATATTTTTGGCATTTTAACTGAAGGAATTCTTTATATTTTGAAACTTATCTATAACTTCTTATTTCAGTGGCATCCCATCGCTCAATCTAAACTATCTGAAGGATGATGACATACCCTCTGGTGCCATCGACATTGATCTTAACGACTACTCTCTGGACACTCCAGGGTCAGCGAGTACAGTCAGGTCAGCCAGACTAGTTTTCATTACCCGTTGGAGGCTATTTGATTTTCTTAGTATGAGGTGCCTCGTCCGCTTCTTTTCAGTGTTTCAATAGATTTTAATGTTCTGCTCAGCATTCTTTTCTAAAAAAAACTCCCATACTTGCCTTCTGCAAAAAAAAATAAATAAGAAGAACTTATGAAGGCAGTGACTATGGTTGCAGCCCAGATAAATGATTTTCTTGCTAACATGGTTTCTCAAGATCTCTTTTCTTTTTGGCAGTCTCCTACTTATATTTGTTCGGATTGACGTTTTTTTTATGCTTGTGTTCAAATAAATGTGAGTAATAAACCATTATCTCTTTGTTATGTGTTAATTACAGTATAAAACCTCAAATATGTTATTTAAGATAAAGTGTTTACTGTTAAGTGCACAGACCAAAAGCAACATTTTTGCTTTGTGCATTTTGAATTTCTAATGGAATTGCTTTTCAGATATTTTTTAAAGTATGGACAATTACATTTTTTTTATAAATGCAGTAAACAACAAATTATGTTGGGAACCACGGATATTCAGCTTTGACTGGTCTCTCTTAAGCAAGCTTGTCAAGATTACTATGATTAGACTGAAATTTTAAAGTGTCATTTCAACCTCGTGATATGTTTGATTTCTTAGTTGGGGAACTTCTAGATCCAACCGAAACGACTTTATGACAAACAAGTACTCTCAGAAATCAGCTTACTCTACAAGACGTCCTGAAGGTGTTCCTGGGCTTAGTCTTGGTGACTCCAAGCCACCTCCAGCTTACAAAAAACAAGAAAAACAGGTAGATCACAAAATGCCTGCTTGTAAAAAGGATTACTTGTTTTTGTGATATGCTTCAATACTTTGTGGAGTTCATGTATTTTTGGTCTAACTTTTATAATGCATTTAATTTTTTTATAAAGTTTTCACATACTTCTTGTTTTATAGTCTAAAATTATTCTTGATTATTGAAGTTTATGTTGTTTTTTTTTCCTCTGTATTTTCATCTTCATCTGATACCATAGTGATCTACTGTTACTTAAATTCTCTGCATTCCCCCACCCCCTCAAAAAGAAAATTAAAGGGAAAAACTATTATCATCACCTGATAAAGAAAACAAAAAAACATTCATTCAATTAAAGCAAATCATTTGAGTTGGGAGTCCTTGAGGCCTTAATGAGAGATGGCAAGTTTTTGTCTTTACAAACAGAATCATAGACTGGCTATTGAAATGAAAGAATAGCAGGCTAGATAAGTTCCAAGGGAAAGTGCAAATTTTTAATGTAACAATTATCTATCTGCATAACCCTTGTTTGTTTTGCCATAAACTACAGAGAGCAAGTAATAATAATAATAATAGATAGCATTTGTATAGCGCAAATCCCCGCTCAACAGCAGGCTCTATGCGCTTTACACTATATTATTACCCCAGCAGACCATAGAACACTCCGAAACATTCTCAGCTTCCCGGGAAGCATACAGTGCGAGCAGCCGATTAAGCGCTCAAACACTAACATACTGACAAGATCTTTCGCTGTCTATAGCCGGGTACCCATTCCCACCTGGGTGAAGTGAGGAAAATTCGTGTAAAGTGCCTTTCTCAAGGACACAACGTTGAGCCCTTGACGGGATTCGAACCCACGACCTTACGGTTGCGAGTCCGAGAGCCTAACCACTAGGCCACCGACGACAGGCCAGACATATCCTGCAATTGGTAGGCTATTTATTTCCCTGGCCCAGGTAAACATTTGTATAAAAGTGATTCCTCAGGTGGCACGTGTTCGAGAACAGCTGGGAATAATGAATTTTAACTAGGGCTTGACACACTTTCTCTGCCTTTCTTACGCCACTGAGTTGGAATCCCATCTTTTACATCTGAAGTTACGCGGCTGCAGGGAGTACAATTTTTAATGATTTGTCGTCTTGAATAAATTTTCAGCCAAACGCATGGGATGGGGATCCAGTGCCAGGCAACCTGCCTGCCCCATCAGCACGGTACAAAGAGATGTACAAACAGTATGAAGATGATATGAAGCAGTCGTATAGAGAATATGCTCATCCTGCAAAAGTCAATCAGGTGAGTCAAATTATATAAGCCTGTTGTGATCAATTGTTCTAGCAAAAAAAAAAATATTGGAGTTCATCGATACATTCATTGTGTATAAATGAAGGTTGCGTCATTGTCACAGTTTAAATGTTGCTTAAAATATGAATTTGTATGATACTGGCCAAAAGCCTATAAAGCTGAATTTAAATCCATTCTGTTCTATTCAGTACTTGATGCTACTCAATTATTACGAGTTAGCTTTTTTAATGAGTTGTTGCAAAAAAAGTGTGTAAGATGTAGTTGGACACCATATTCAATTCGTATGTCTAACTTTGCTGTATCTGTGTATCTTTTGCTATTGCAGAAAGAGGTTGAAGAGGCTGTACAGAGAATTCGTAGCTCCCGTCAAGCAGCGAAAAAACAAGAGGAAGCTTTGCATGCTGAAACACTGAGTCTAAGCCCTGATCCAAAAGAGTTAAATGAGAGCTGGACGAAACAGAGACGTTCAAGTAAACAAATGCTGAAGAAAATGGATGCAGTAAGTTTGAAGATCTTAGAAAGTATTGTAATGTTTTTCTTTGTTTATGTAGAACACAGGATCTGGAAAGGGCGGTGAAGGGTTAGTGAGGATGGGGATGGATGGAACTGTTTTAAGATATGGTACAAGTTTAGAAGGGTACAAATAGATAGGTCATTTAGAAGTAGGTGAAGCTGTACACACTGGAAAAGTTGATGCTTTACTTGCTAATACCATGTGTTTGTTGAATGGGGTTGGTGGCGGACTGCATGATCATTATTATTGACCTACCAAAATTGCTGTCTTTTTCTCATCTGTGTGAATATTTTATTGGTGTGATGTATTTATGTATCTATTGTTTTTATGAAAAGTTCATGAAATAAGGAGAAGAATCTTTTTTTTCTTTTTAGTTTGTTCCTCTATTTTTATCGTAGCCCTTTCTGAGTGCAGCCTTCTTGACAGCCCCACTGAAAGCAGTTCTTTCCTGCATTGTGCACTTGGCCTTGTTGATATTTGTTTCACTTATTCAGAGATGTTTGAACTCCATTTTCTTTTTGGGTGTTCTTTGCTATAATTTCCCAAAACTTTTGCTTCTATTTTCTTTAATGACACAGAACCAAATACAGTTGGAATTGTCGAGGACAGTCAGCCATTGTCGAGGAGAAAAGTGATCGTCTTAGACAGTCTTGAACAACACGCGCCGGGGGGGGGGGGGGGGGCATTTGTACATGTAATTGTCTTATACAAGTGACCATTAGAGAAAGTTCGAATGAACTATATTCGAAGAGGGAGAGTATTTTCAATGTGGATATTAGGTATCTTTAGCTCAAATTTTTTGTTTCATAAAGATCTTGTATTTTTCAGGATGAATTGGTGGAGCACAACAAGAAGCAGAAGTTGGTGGAAACGGTCATGATTGATCAGCTGAGTCGGTGAGTTGCTCTCTCTAAGTATAACATGTGTTTGCACCTCACTTATGACATTTTGCATTCTCTCTCTGAGTTGTTTGCGTTGGATTAGTTTTTTGCCAAGAACATATTAGGACCACAGTAACTTGAAAAAAGAAATGAAAAGAGCACACCAACCTTAAAAACAAAGTTTTGTTAGTGAATGGTTATTTCCTCTGATAGCCTTGTCAAAGAATATTTTTACTGTAATGACTTTTAACTAGCTAAAGATTCTTTTTAATCTTATGTTTCTTGCCCTCTGCTCCAAATAATGTATGCGCACGGTACATAAGCCACTGATATGAAGATAAATATCTTGATGCTTAAAAATGATCATTACAACACTAAGAATCTTTTTTTGTTGTTTTACCTTACGTTGCTAGGATTTTTACTGAATTTTTACAACAATTTGTATTGTAGGATTGACGTAGGAGTTGTATTCTATTTTTGTCATAAATCTCTGTGGAATTTATGTAGAACAAAGAATCGTATAGTGTACAGATAATAATCTAATATAATGTAGAGGTTGAAAAAGTTGCAACGGTGGGAGGATGGGGAAGATTGGGGAGGGGGAGGGAGTTTACCATTTTTTGGGGTAAATTATCAACTAGAAATGTGCTGATGTTTCATTGTTTGCTCAGAGCTGTGATCAGTGACCCACAACAGGATACTCGCACTACGTCAAGACCCACATCAACCAGGTGGACAAAAGGCAGTAACAGATATCTCCATGATTCCAAGTACGGGTTTGGTTTTTATGAAAATTTTGGTATCTTTTTAACTTACCCTGCTTTTGATTATAAAAAGCTAAAGAGTTGCAGTCTTTTGCTGTAGAATTTGTTTCATTATGAAAGACAACTACAGATAAGTAATATAAAGCAAATAATGAAATAAAAAAATCCAACTGTTTGAAAATATCAATCAAGAAGGTAGCTTTAGCTAATTAGAATTCACCTCATACTTACTGAGGCTGCTTACAAGGCTATTTTCATAATGACTTTGAAATATAATAATAAAAGTATTGGATACCATGTTTTCTCTCTTTGCCGTTTCTTATTTCTTACCTTGAAATGTACGTATGAAAAGTGACTAAAAGGTCAGCTTTATATACTTAGTTTAACAAAGTTAAAAATTTTGTGGCTTTGATTACCATGTTGTGAAGTCTCCCTTTCTGTTGGCTGGAATTTCACATCTATAGTAATATCTATTGTATCTGTACTGACAGACCTCTTTTCTCAACAGAATTAGTACAAGTTCTACAGCCACAGAAAACTTGCTGTCTAAGAGAATGCGATTTGGTGCAAGAATCCTTACGAGGTAAAACAATGTCATTTGTAGGCAGTAGCTGTGCTAATCTTATCCTGAAACAAAAGATTGAAATCCTGTTCGTTGCAATTTCTTCCACTTCATTGTGCATTAAATTTCAATTCTTCACTTCTCACAGGCATTTTTTAACGAGTTAACAACTGTAAGGCTTATTTATTATGAACAGCTGGAAATACTGGGAGGATTGAAACTTGTTTCTTCAAATGTTTGCTTATTTGGCATGTTTTGCAATGTATGACAGACTTGATTAGAAGCTGTGTGAAGATTATTAAGACCTTTGATGAAAAAGTGACGGAAAATGTTTGTTTGGTGTTGAGGAAAATTTCTATTTATAAGCAATATCGTATAGAACAGGTATCTTACTTTAAGAGATATGTAGCGTTGCTTTGCCTTTTAGATATATGTTTTTTTTAAAATAAATTATTCTGTGCTGATCTTAAAAGCTGGTATTTGATTACTTTGATGAACATTACCTACATATGCTGCTTCCTTTTCTTCTACAACAGAAATGGTAGTGATGCAATGAAGGAGCTGACTGGCTTTTACTTTGCGTGTGACAAAACACTGACAGTTTATGAGTTCAGACAGTTTGGCAAGAGGTGAAAAATGGCTGTCAAAGTGTTTTGTTTTAAGCCTAAAATGTGAACGAAAATGTTTTAAGTAATCTCTTTTGTTGTTGTAAAATTATACAGAATGTAAGTTTTGAAAGTCTTTATGTGGGAAAATAGGTAATGTTGTGTAGTTTCATGCTTTCAATGATTTCATACATTTCTGTCTTTCTTTTTAAAAATGGTATTGATTTTCGTAAAGTTTGTGTACAAGGCAAGGTGTAGGAAAGTATTCTTAGTAGTATGTCAAGATTCTTTGATATTTTAATACGATGAAATTCTAAACTGGGCAAATACCTCCATTATCATCATCTGTACTATGTGAAATTTTTTTTGCCAGTTCAAAGAAGGGCAAAAGCTGATCCTGTTTAAAAAACAGAATGCAATTTATATTTGAATAGACACATAAATATATTATTTTCTCATAAAAGCACATGATCATGCCATCTCATTAAAAGTGTATTTATTATGTATATTTTGTTTCCCAGTGCTAAGGCAATGCCTTTCATCTATCGTGGGCAGTACTGTCATAAGTCTGGGCCAAAGCAGGGACGACCCTTTGGTTTGAGTGACATATATGTTGTAAGTTTTATGTGTCAAAAGACTGTTTCAATTCTTTCCTCTATGAATGAACATTCTGTCATGGGGTTGATATTGTAAATGTTTTACTTTGCTTTAAATGAGGGGTGTGTGAGTTCTCAAGTCCGCTTGATTACTCGAGTATTTAGCCTCCGTGAATACTCCCTCAAGTAGTTTTTAAATACTAGAGAACTCTATTGAGTCCAAAACTTTCGAGTACTTGGGTAATTTCCTGATTGCTTACTTTTTTTCAACAAGTGGAGGCGTTTAGTAGAAACAATGATTTTTTTGTTTCATAATTTTTGTTTGTATTTGCATTGCATTTGCTTTTTTCTTTCCTCCTTTTTCTTTGTGCATTATTCAAATCATTTCAGTAATGTTCATATTTTTTGGGGGTTTCTTTTAGCGTTATTAATATTTCTTTTTCTGCTTTTGTATTATTATTATTATTATTAATTAATGGGCAAAATCTGGTTTGGGCATCAGCAGATAACATATTGAGCCTGTGCTCAGAATTTGAGTACTCAACTCAGACTGGACATGAGTCCAAAAGTCTTGGCTCTCACACTCTTACTTTAAACACCATTAGGATCGTTTGGGAGGTAGGCTGTCAGGGCCAGCTTGGGCTGAGTGGAATACAATATCCCAGCAGACAGATAGAGATTCTCAATAAAATAATGTCTCCAAATGGATGTGGAACTCGTGTCTTCTGTGAGCTTAACTATTTCACCACAAATGTTGGTCTGTCGTCGAGGGAGTGATGGGCTTGTGTTGTCCATTCCGTTTTACTCAATGGAAATTAAACTGGGATTTTTTTTCTATTTGAAGTAGAGAGTTTGATTTGTTGTTTTCTTGGGTAATTTTATTTTTATCAATTTGAAAAAAAATGCAATAAACTGATAAACTGATAGTTCTTTGCCAGCTGAGGGAACATCATTTTTTTTGTCTCAGTGACTTCCAAGTCAGTGTAATTAATTTAAGATGTATGGTATTAACTCTTCTTTGCTTTCAGGGGGCAAATTTGAAGATATCCACTGAAGGTCAGCTTGCTCTCACAGACTCTCTTGCTGAAAATGATGTCATAGTTTTACGAGTGACAGATATTGATGAAGGAGAAAAGGAAGCTCTTATGTAAGTAGATTATGATGTTGTGATCAGTCTAAAAGTGAAAGTTAAACCGAAATTTTGTTACTTACAAATGTGTGCAACACGTCCATAATTCGGGTTAACCGATATTGAAAAACTAATGAGATATCAGTTGGTGAATGGCAAATTGTACAAGCTGTCCATGATTTTGAATTTTTTGTGTTTGTGTTATCTGTGCTCGGCTGTACTTTTTGAAAAGAGAAAACACCACTGGTCAGTATGAATAATAACAGGTATGGTTGAATTCCGTATGAATTCCTGAAAGATGAGAAGCACTATATGTTCCAATTGCAAGCAGGCCACAGTGATACAAGTCATTGGCCCTGTGAGATGAATCTCCTACAGTTGACTGGGCCTGAGATCTAGCACATGAATGAACAAGAAGATGGAGAAAGAAAATAAAATAAATATGCAACAAAATACTTATTACCATTGCTTTCTTCAGAGTAGAGTGATGCCAACCATGGAAGTATGTTAATTTGTAACAGACAAAGTAGTGACATTTTAAAACTTGTATTTGCTTCTACATACAATACAGGGATGAGCAAGAAGACGTTGATGGTAGAATGCACGCCCCAAGTAAACTTGATATACAGAACAAAGAGTTCTTGTATATGATTCAAGGTAGGGATGTGGTTACTTTGTGCACCTAGAGAGAACAATTTTACATAAGTGGCCCTTTGCTGCTGTACATGAAAATTTGGTCAATGTATGAGGTCCTGGTTATGTTTGTGCTATCAAGATATTCAGTTTAGAACAATATTTTGCATTAATTATAATTATTATTTAGGTTTGATATCATTCATTTTGATCATTGTGAGCCTGTGGTATTATAACAGAGAGACTTCCTTATGTTTCCTCTTTCATTTTTGTTTTGCATGATTTTGTCCAAAAGTCGGTGTTCAAGCTTTATGGCTTCTATTGTAATAAGGCTGTTTCTGAAATTGAAAAAAAAAATGCGGAGAACAGTTTTATCATTCCATGCATATTTGACTTCAATTGGAGATGAAAATTCAAATGAGCTTTACTTTTTAAAAAAAATTACTTACTTTTCCATGTGCTCTAGCGAGAGCAAGTTGAAATGTTTCCTGCTTTCATAGAATTTTGCCAAAATATTTTTTTGAGATCATGATACATTAGTGATAAAGTACTTGAGGTGACGAACTATGGGGTTATTTTTGTTTTACTTTCTATTCTAGATGAAGTCCGAACTAAGATCCAAAAGCGTGGTATCAGAACAGTTACTGGTCTGGGTCGATACTATCGCAAACTTGATCAGTACAAGACTGGGATTTTGGATCAATATGATCTGGAGAAAGGCTTGAAAACATTTCGAATCAATTTGGAGCCAGAGGTTTGAAGTTTTTTTTTTTCATGTATTGTGTTGTTGTGTCCTTTTTACTTTCGAAATATCTGAAAATCACAGTGGTTTTTGTACCATCCTCATTAAACTCAATTTAAATCTGAATATGTTTTTTAATGATTGTTGTTGTTGTTGTTGTTGTTGTTATAGATCCAGCAACAGCTTAGATTGTAAAACTGAAAGTCTTTTAATCAACATTTTTTACTCAAGTATTACTAAATTGTTCTCAGGTTACTGAATTTTCATCTTAAAATTTGCAAAATGTTGTTACAAACAATGGAGATTTGTGCTAATTATGATTTTGATGATCCATGAAATGAAGTGTTATGAGAACTACCAGAATTGTTTACAAAATCTGGAAAAAGATGTATTGTCATCAATTGCTGTTGTTGAGGTAAACTGTTCAGGAATAACAATTCTAATTTTGTTCTGGATGCAGACATTGGAAGAACTATTTGACATACTTGATCCTGAAGGTATGAGGCTTTTGGACTATGGAGACTACATGCATGGAATTCTCGGAGAAATGAATGAATACAGAAAATCCCTCATGAGAAAGGTAAATACAGAAATTGATTGTTGTTATCTGTATGTATATTTTCTTATAGTCGTCCTGCCAATTAACTGTATCTTGTGTCAAGTTTTATTTTTACAACTTTCTTATCAAACAATTTGAAGGTAACAATACAAATATCTTAAATTTGCAGCCAGCTTATTTTAATCATATGTAATGTGCACTTGAATGCATGGTATCTTTGTTGCAGAAAAACAATCCAGTTTTTGCCGTCAAATTTTAAAGAGAATTCAAAATGTATTGTGGCATTGATAAGGACATTGTCATGTTTCTGTGACAGACAAATGATCTCCAGCAAAAGACTTTTTCCTAAATGTGTGGCATTGTAGTGAAATCATGGGCTGGTCGAAATAATGAAATGGACTAAATCAACATTTTTTCATGCATTGGGCAATTTTTATTTTTATTGGTATTTTTTTTTGGGGGGGGGGGGGGGTTCTTTGGGGCAGGGGGGACACCTTTTAGGTCATTTAAAAACATTTTTGTGTGGATTTTACTGATAAACATTGGTCAAATGGTAAAAAAAAAAGTGGTTAGGCTATCGGACTCGTAATCGTGAGGTTGCTGGTTCGGGGGTTCAAGCCGCGGGCCCGACGTTGTGACGTTGGGAAAGGCACTTTACATGAATTTTCCTCACTTCACCCAGGTGGAAATGGGTACCCGGCCATAGACAGCGAAAGATCTTGTTAGTATGTTAGTGTTTTAGCTCCTATAAATGGCTGCTTGCACTGTATGCTTCCCAGGAAGTTGAGGTTGTTTCAGAATGCTCTCAGGTCTTCTGGGGTAATAGTATAGATTGTGAAGCGCATAGAGCTTGCTGTTGAGCGGGAATTTGCGCTATGCAAATGCTGTCTATTATTAAATCTAAAAATGACAAAAACGTTACTAAATAGGTCATTAAATCAAAACAGGTGAACCTATTTTGATAGTTTTTCATCTAATGAATGAACTCCCGATAAAAGAGACCTGTTTTCGGAAATTGCCGAAAAGTAATCTGATGTCGAAGTTGTCATAAAGGAATGTGCGCAATCCGCTATCAGATAAAGAGTTAATGCTTCCCAGGATTGTGTTCTCAGTTTCTCTGTATTTTTCCTATTTTTTTATAATAAGAATAAAAAGCTCTTTTAACTCACTGTTTGGTTTCAGGCATTTCACAAGCTTAATTGCAGCAAGAAAGGGGTCATTCACATCAGTGACGTCAAGAAGTTCTTCAATGTCAACTCAAAGTACAAGACTGCCTCAGGTAAGCTTGCTTAGCTCATAGAACTTAGAGACTAAGAACAAAGCAAAACTTTTAATGGTAGCCTTATGGTGGGAAAGAGAAGTGACTGGGATAAAGACAGGCTGTTGGTGCTAATGTTACTTTATGAATGATAAATTATAGAAATAAATGAATGAAAGTATAACACTTCTTTGATGAGGATTTAACTTGTAAAATTTTTGGCAAAGAGCTTTCCCCGGGTACATGTCATATTGTGTTTATGAAGACAAAAAGATGTCTAGATGGATCAGATTCTGCATTGGTGCTCTCGTGGTATGGAGGTTACGAAGTTCGTCTCTCTTTCAATAGGTCCCGGGTTAGAAACCTGACAGCAATGGAAAATTCTCTTCTCTAAAAAAATGTTCTCCTTTCACCTTTCCTGCTCTCTAATCTTGTTCTGTCTGGGTTTTTTGTCTCCCCCCCCCCCCCGCCACTTTGCCCCCTCTTCTTGGCTCCTGACTCTTTCTGCAGCCTTTCTACTACTACTAACAGACTGCAGTCTTTTTGCAACAAACCTGGTCTTAGGGTAGGTAAGATCTAACACCTGACCTTCTCAGATAAGGGCGGAACAATCTCAGAAGTCCCATGTGCACGTTTGGCACTTTAAAGATCGCTTAGTGGTTCTAAAATTGATAAGATTAGGCTTTGGCTGCGACCCAGGCAAAATTCCAAATGAATTCCTACCAAACTGAAAATGCTGGATGTGTCCCATGCGCTCATATGACCTTATGCAGTTAAGAGCGCTTTTAAACACTTACAAAAAAAATGGAAAATTCTGCACTAACATGACCTTTTTGTTTGTTGTCTTCTGCCAGGTGGAGACTCGGGAGTCAGCGCGTTGCAAGCCTTCCTGGAAGATGTGCGAGAAAATGAAAAGCAAGAACTTATCTCTTTTATTGAATTTGAGGAATACTACGAGGGGTTGAGTTTAGGAATCGAAAGAGACGAGGATTTTGCGAATGTGCTGCACAACACTTGGAACATTTAAAAAACTGTCAGTGATTCCTATTCTGGTTTAGCAGTATTCTTGTTTTGACTCTTATCACTTGCACATATCACGTTTTCATGATATAAAACTGACAAAGTCGAGTCTTTCCACTTTGTAATATGGAGGATGGTGGTCGTTATACAATTGATCTCATAGAGAACAAAGGTATAATCTACAAGTATTACGAATATAATTTCACAGGTTAGTTTCAACTTATTTTGTGTTCACATGAAACTTTTCTGCTTGAATGCCCAATCTAGGATCAACTTTGATGATGATGATCCTTCTCCCAATTTTATGTGCGAGCGGGATTTGAAATTACTTTTTGTCTCGCCTCCCTGAGATACTCCTTATTGTGGGGAAATAACTTGACAAACTCACTGCGTTAATAGCCATGGTTCTCTATTCGTGACAAGGTGTTTAGAGAATGGTACCGGTCATCAGCCCTTATATGACTTAATATTTTTGCAAGGGCTGTAAAATTCTTACTAAAGCTAAAACTTACTGGTTGGTCCTACTTCTTTTCTATACCCTTATGGTTGCAGTCTTTCCCTCTTACTTTTTTTCCAAGCCCAAAATGATGTTGATTGTGTCTCAAACCTTATAAAATATCACACGTGTACATATAATGCTTTTGTAAAAATTTGGTTAAGGCAGGTAGAGAGGATGTGCCACAATACACGTGTTAATTGCATAATATTAAAGGATGAGCTGATTTGGTGGTGAGAGAAATGGGTTACTTGTGAGAAGACGTCCCTATTTAACTGTTGAACTGTCAGGAGGTTATAAATGTTGGCAGGCCTTGGGCAGGAGGCCTAATTAACTGTCAAGGTGTTGCTGTTCGAAGAGTTAGTTTTATGGATTCGGCAGTGTGGCCACCAAAAGGGAAATGACCTGATTTTTGTCAGGAGGCAATTTGGTTTCCTTTTTTCCAGCTTGTGTGAACAAAACTTAACTCTTTATCTCCGGCAAGTCACTCCCAGCGGCTCGCAGTCGGAACCACTGTGCTGGCTCGGGCCCATTCCTTTACGCCGACTTCGATATCAAATTACTTTTCAGCAATTGCTGAAAACAGGTCTCTTTTATGGGAATTTCATTCTTTAGATGAAGAACTATCAAACTAAGTTCACTTGTTTTGATTTAATAGCAATGTAGTGACGATTTTGTCAGTATTAGATTTAGTACCAAAAAAAGGGCCCCGGCATAGTGGGTTTACCCCCCTCCGAGATAAAGAGTTAAGGAACATAAGGAGGGAACAACATAAGGTGCATGATTCAAGAAACAAATTAATAAGATTGTCAATATGCATTTTAACCAGTGGATTACACTTGAACTTTGAAAACTGAGGTGCTGATTATGAAAATATGAGATTAGATTTTTCATCGGAACTTCAAATTGGAAATTATTTTAGCTCTTGTTGGGCTATGACTGATGAGGCATCACACAACCTGACTAAAATGCAACATGCAGCATTCCAACTGACCCATCTTTTGTTGTGGGGAGTCTTGTCATTTTAGCAAACATATCCAAATGGGTTATTTTGACATGTTAACGAAATATCTATTTAGAAATGTTATATTCATACCACTAACCTTCCTTGGTTTGCCAGTAGCTTAAAACTTTAAAAAAATGTATTTAATGTTGTTTGACAAATGGTGTCTGGTACTTTAAGAACTGTTGAGATGTTTATCTGAAGAATGTGTTTGATGTGAATGCAGTGAGTTAACCCAACCTTAATTTGACTCATTTATGGTAGCTTTCTGCATACTAAGCTCATACAATTCTCTCTGAGGTAAGCAATGCATTACTTGGTGTGTTGCTATCTTTAGCTTTCTATAAAGTGTATATATCTACACATATTCCAAAGCAAATTTGATATACCATAAAGAACACACTAGGGTAGATCAGACATCTGCCTTTGATTGTCATGGTGTCTAGAATGAAGGAGTATTTAAGCAGCCCTTTTGTATATTTAGAAAAATTGTATTTGTTTTATTTATTTAAAACATTGATGATTGTTTTGACTCGACATATAATGTTTGTATGAAGCATTTTTTCTCTAAGAAAAAAGCAGTTTGGTGGTTGTTTTCCTCAAGCAGGGTGCTACACTTAATTTGTACTTACTTGCATTTGTGTGGATGTGTTTTATCACAATGTACACTAGTGAGAAACACCACATGTTGTTACGTGTTCATGAGTGGTGTCAAATCATTCCTCTGTTTGAAGTTCTGTTTATTTGAATTGCGAATTTCATGTGAACAGATATATTAAAAATAAATTTAAGTCACATTCCAACTACATGTGTAGTGTAAAGCGAGGCATAGATGTTGTATCAGAATTGTTGTTGCTGCAAGGTGAGTCCAGTGTAAAGTATCATAAGCAGAATGTATTGTTTCTGTAACTGTTTGAGATCCATTCTGTTGCCATAGTGACGCTACTCATTGATTTTAACCAGCAGAGAAACATTTTTAACTGTTGAACTTTCTACTAATAGAGACATGTTTGATACTTCAAAATTCAACCCCCAAAAAATAACAATTTGTGTTACCTATTAATGTTGATGACATGTGTGAGACAAGCACATACTTTTGTAGATTTCTTAATTCTGTTTTTAAAGACTTGCATGGACTTGGGAAATTTTGAAAATGAGCATCCGGTCTGTACTTGAGATGTTTCTAGATGGGGCTTGAACCTCTAAAGAGTACAAAAAACCATTCCACATAATCACAATGTCGAACGTTTATAACTTTGCTGTAATATTCTACATGTCGAATGCTGCACAGTCACTTCTTTGGACTAGACCACCCAGTTTTTGCCAAGGATTTGGCACTAGCCAGTAACATTATACACCTACTTTTCTTTTGAATGACACACTTTGTAACTATGTCTGAAGGCATTCAGTTCGGTAGAAGCAAATTGAAGAGTGGATTTTCCAAAACACAATATATTCATTTTTGATGAAAGAGGAAAAAGTACCTTAATTACACATGGTGATTTTGTAGACATATTTTCATCAGACTTACCTCTACAGGCATACAAAAGCAGATGAAAGAAAAACAGCGGTTTAGAGTAACAACTTGACGCTTATATGACCTTATGCAGTTGTGAGCGCCGTAAAAACCCTCTACTAAAAAAAAAAAGAAAAAGAGTAACAACTTTTTATAAAAAGATTTTCTCAATTTTCTCACTTTAAAGTAAACTACTGAGTTATTATTGAGTTTACTAAAACATTCTTCTCAAGCCAACTTCATTCTTTGACAGTCAACTCTGTGAAAGTATAATTTCATTTTACAGTCACAGTTTGCAGTGTGGCTTCTTGTTCCTTGTTTTATTAAAATTAAGTGTTCCTTATCTGTCAGGACTGTTATGATATATACATTCCATGTTAATGGTTGTCTTGTAATGTATTTTATGAACATGTTTTTTTTTCAACAAATAATCATAATAAAGTCAAAGTCACTTGTGTCAGAGCGTTGTGCTGGTTTATCTAAAAGTACTTTCCACTACTATATATTATGTGATGGAGTGGTGCTCTTCCTTCACCTACATTTGTGAGGCAGCGTGGTGAAATCAGGCACTCATCAAAACAATGAAATCAAAGAAAACAGCTTTTTTCTGGGTGTTGGGCAATTTTTTTTTAATGTTCTTTTTTGGCTCAACACCTTTTATGTCCTTTTAAAAAGGCGTTTCTGTGTGGATGTTAATGAAAAACTTTCCTTAAAAGCACAAAAAATGTAAATTTCCAGTTTCATAAGACACTCATGCTTTGGAAGTCACCAAACTTTGACGACCATTTTCTCACTAATTTTACCTCATATATCAGGCAACCCTCACCTCCTTCAATGGCAAACATCTCAACTTCTATTCCAGAAAGACGGGTATTTTTTTTTCTGCCAAATGCAGACAAATGAACAAGCTGTAAGATGATATTAATAACTCTCTCTATATATACCCATAAATTGACGAGCGATGATTCCACAGCGTCGTAACACATAATTTACTGTTTAGTAGTTTACGCAATCTCAGTACTTAATGCTCCATTTTTGGCCACCAACTGGCTCCCCATCACAGCACACTATGGGAAATTGGTATTCTTCACTAAGTTCAGAGTTTATGTAAAATAAGAGGAAAATCCTTTACAAATAGAGAAAATGGATTTTAGATGTTCCCCATCCCCATTTTTCTAGTGCTGATGGATTTACATCACCCTCGGGAAAAGAGCAATGTGACCAGTGTTAATGGTATCAGTGGCCATTGGGTGAAGAACAGTGATCTAAAAAAATTACTGTCTAAAGCTTTAACAAAAAGCTGCATCATAACTTTAAAAATGAGCAACAGAGGCTTTTCCACCACTTTGAGAATGTCCCCTTATGAATGATGTAACAGTAACCATTCACACAAGACCAAATAAGAGAGCAACTTTAAACTCTCAAAATGTTTTTCAAAAAATAGGAATGTTTTATTATCCAATTGCACTAAAAGTGATGGATATATAATGTAGGCAACAATGTTTTACAAGCTTCAGATCATGTTTGGATCATTTACACAAATAAAAGTGTACAATGCAATCAACATTTAAGGTCAGGCAGCCATTGAAAGAAGTGACTTATCAAAAGTCAGTCACGCAGTAAAGGGAAAGTTTACAATCAATTATCTGTCTTATTCTAATCTTATAACCCATTTAACACAGTCAGCAAATTTTTAGGTTGATAAAGTTTTAGAGAAAGTACACTTTTCTTTTCTCCTTTTAATATAAAATTAAACAGCACTATAAAACAGAAGAAAAAAAATTAGATAAAAGATTGGGCAAAATTAACGATTTTTTGAGTTGTCAGTTTCCTAAATGCGATACTCATTTTCCTGAAGTATATATAGTTACAGATGAAGTGTTTTGTGAAAAAATGCGTTATGTCCAAAGTTTTATGTTCCGCTTTATCTCCCTTAGTGGGAGGTTTAGTTTTAATCTTTATTTTATTACAAGACATGAAGTGACCAATTATTATTTTATACATCTTCGATTCTGTGTTATATTTTAAAACAGCATACTGCATACTGATCATAACCAAATAAGGTTGGCGCCCCCAAAAAAGTGCTACAAGGACACCCTGAAAGTGTCCCTGAAGGCCTTCAACATAAATCCTTTTACATGGGAGGGCCTTGCTCCTGACAGACTCAGCAGGAGAGCTGCAGTCACAGTAGGCAGCAAATCACACAAGGCTTCGTGAATATAAGAAATGCTGAAACCAAGAAAAAAGCCTACAAGCTGCGCACATTCCACAAGTGGAAGGGGAGCCTTTAAATGTACAAAATGAGGCAAACATTTTTCTGCCAGAATTGGTCTCAACAGCCACAGCAGAAGCCACAAGTCATCATTACCTCTAATTCTTCAAATTCTTCTATTTAGCTGGAGAAATATTCTCCTTTGCGGATGTATGGGTCATCGTCAGACATTGATGGATGAGCTATTATTTTTATTGATCATTACTCAAATGTTCAGCTTTTAAAAAAAATTTGTTGTTGTCATAAAGCTCTTTAAATTTTGGGCTTTGACTTGTTTTTAGTTATTATCATTTAAAGTCATTGGTCTGTAATCTTAGTTTTAAACTTAAAGACAAATTAAAATGTGAAAGTATTTTTTGTTTTGTGGAAAACTGTCTGTCTGAGAACAGTGTTGAAAAGGTGGACTTTCAAAACCAAAATGTATTTGTCTGATGTGTATCAGGTGAAAATTATAATGAACTAACAGTTTGCTGGTTATTAGAATGAAATGGACACTACACATTCATTGTACTTATGATAAAATTGCTTTTCTTTACATAAATGAATACCTCATACTGTCTTAAACGACAAATATTGGTGAACCAGGGTTCCATATCATGGCAGTATACTTGCTGCTAAATGTCTCTCACATTAGAACAAATAGAAAAGCAAAAGCATGACAATAAGTATCTCAGCACAACCAAGCTACACGAGAGCATGACAAAGAAAACAAAATGTGCTACAACAGTACAAACCTTTCATCATGAAATGCCCTTTGATATTCCGAATTGTCTAGTATTTATTAGAATGTATCAGGTACCGTACATGAAAAAAAAGTCTTTTATGAATGCAATCCGCAAAATACAAAAGGACTAAAACATTTAAAATACCACAAAGGCAGACTTGTCCAGTTTATTTGATTCTTCTTTGTGTGGTCATGTTCCCAACAAATGCTTTTGCTACTTTAGGGGGATGATACAATGGTATACAGGTGCTTGTGGAACTTAACATACACACACACACACACACACACACACACATACACACGCACACACACGCATGCATGCATGCACACACACATATATATACACACAAACACATATGTATGTAACATATTGCTGTCAACATGAAAAGTAGGAAATACATTCATGAAAAGACTTTCTCTATCTTTAATCATATGTGTCAAAAATACCTGTCTTATCATAGAAAAACCAAACTCTCTTTATCACAGCAATTTGTTTAGTTATCTTCTTAACGGCCTTTCATGCTAGAATAATTTATTATTGGCACAACCATTTAATCATAAGTTTCACCCGATACACCTTGACAGCAATCACACTGATCCATAAAGGTGAAATGTAATAAATCTCTACTCGTATCAGCATTTTTTTTTGGAGGGGGGGGGGCAGTTATATCTGGCACAGCAATAAACTTGATAAATAATTCATACTGACTGCTTAGTGTAACTCTCCACCATACATCTTTTTGAAAAGAGAGGTATGACGGAGTTTTACACCGAGCAATCAATATAAAAATTGAAAGGTTGTCACTCTTCAGCCATCTTATTTACGTATGCTGCAATTTTGTCTTACAGTCCAATGTACTATATTATGTCATTTGTTCTGAACTATAGTGTAACCCTGTATTCGAGCAATCAACATCCATGAGCTCAAACTATGAGCAAGCAAAACAGTGCACATTCTCAGAAGTTCGTAGTATTAAAATATCCTGAAAATAGCATAATCCACATGGATGTTGAAGGGAGAAAAAAAAATCTAATCTTGCTACTTTTAGGTGAAACAAGGTCATTCACAATATTCGAGCTTCAGTGTGAAAAGGTTCATACTGTTTACATAAGCTTAATTTGCATGACCAGCTAAACAAAACCTTTCTCAAGTGTACTATGCTACCACCAATAGAGAGATGATAAAAAATACTGGACAGAAGGCTAAAGGCTGACTGAACGCATGACAGTCAGGCAGGACAGATTGGCTTGAAGAGCCATGGCGCTCGCCGAAGTCCTGGGATGACACCTAACAATAACTTTGCTTCATTCATTTTTAATTGTGAAGCCAAAAACATCATACAGTATATAAAATAGAAGCCCATAGCAAGACTAATATACATAAGGATGTGGTTATAACTATTATCAGGGTAAGGAGGCAAAAGGCATAATGTATGCAAATATGGCTGTCAACTTTATAAAGCTGAAACACGACTTTTGGAACTTGTTGAGCAATAAGCAATGTGAAAGTACCGACGATGCATACAAAAAAGAGACGAAACCAGAACAAAAAATTTGTAAAAGAATTTAAGTCCAGAAAAATCCTTTATATGATTCTTAGAATTCCAGAAATTTGTGGAAAGTGGCATCTCTACATTTACACTGTCTTATCTTCCCCAGCAAACCATTTGATTGCCAATGCCTTACATCCCCTTCAAGACTATTTACATCATTCAGGGAGCAGGCTGAGTGGGACACAGCATCCCAGCAGACAGACAGAGATACTTAACACAATGGATTTCCCCACAGGGGAATCAAACTCACATCTATTGCATGCCTAACCATCACACCATGATAGACCCTGGTCCCATAACACATTTATAAATATAATAGGCTTTTTGTGAAAGAGAAGCACACCGTCAATGTCCGACTCCAACTGTGTAGGTACATGAACGCTCATTTTCAGAAGTGAAAATTAATGTAATTTATTTCTTATTATCCACCAGAATTGTGTCTTCTTTTTACATATTATAGTATCAGAGATTGTAGTTACGGTCATTAGTAACATCTTTTGGAGCAAAAAAAGTCTTTGACCTAATTTGACAGAACACAATTAGAGTTGGACACTGATGATATGGGTACAACAACAATCATTTAGAGCTATGAAAAGAGAAAGACAGTAGAACACAAACATCAGAGGGATAACAATGAAGCAAGAACAATCAGTGATGCCTTCCAACCAGTCACTACAATTTACAGGACAAGGTGTGCTTACTGTCAGAGCAAGCAAAGCAGTAGCACGTAACAATTGCAAAGTCTGAACATGATCCAGGCTTTATGCTTAGAGATGACAAACTGAAAACAATAAATTTTGTAAATTTAATTAAAAACAAAAAGTGAAATTGAAAGCAGAACACAAGTAGAATCAGAGTAACATCAACAAGAAAGATACAAAATTCTCTTTGCAGCTATTGCAAGCCAAGGTTTACCCCATTAAATACAGCAAGTATGCATTTTATTGCAAAAGGGTAACAAAAAAAGCAACATTTCTTGATATTCGACCATTAAAATAAAAGCAAGTTCAGGTTGTTGAATATAGTAAGGGAAAAGAACATAAGAGGAATTTTTTGTTTACAAGGAGAGGTAAAAAAGAAGAAGAAGAACCCCACCATTTTCATTCTAGTCATAAAAGTTTAGAGATGCTTTTTTGGGTAAATGAGATGGACAACTGACGTTGCAGAGAAATTTGTTACATTTTTTCTCCATCAAATACACATGTCTCTGACTGTCAGTGTTAGCTTTACCCTTATTGCAACAGATTTACAAAGCAAAACACAGTCAAATTTGCACAAATGGGATAAATGAAATAGTACAATCAAGTCTGCACTTACGGATTTACAGATACAATACAATCAAGTTTGACATACAGATTTACTAGGACACAAAACAGTCATGTTTGCACTTACGGATTTATAGACAGTACAGCCAAGTTTGCACATATGAATGTATAGACAGTACAGTCAAGTTTGCATTTATAAATTTACTAAACACAATACACTCATACATTCAAGTTTGCACTTAATGATACAGGCAAACAAAATTCAATGACTGCCATTGTAAATTTGCACTTTCATATCACAGATGAGTTATTGACGTTCAGATTTTAAAACGCTAAAACAAAACATAACAAAACCAACAAAGACTCTTTATACATTGGTTTGATGCCAGGCATAGAAATAAGATTGGCATATATGTAGTCTCATGAGCTGTGAATCCAGATTTACACTTGAACCAGGCCTCAAGTTATCAGATCAAGGCCTAGGTAGTCAAGAAAGGCAACATTGTATCACATCATTTGCTTACAAAATCCTTTTAAAATCACAGCTTCAGTGGTAAAAAGTACCAATTTCAGAATCAATTCTTTGAAATTGTGAGGCAAAAACAATCCCTAAAACAAAACATACTATGAATCATTCAAAACCAAGCAGAATACCATTGCAATAATTTTCATTTTTTCATCCTGAAAACAAAAATATAGGGCAGTTGTTACGAATCCAAAGTCATTGTAAATTCTAAGTGAAGTCCATTGTCAATTTGAATTACATTCAGTGTCATTAAAAAAAATAATCCATAAAATTTACTTTGTCTTTCATTGCCAGCTGGGGTAAAACATTGTTGCCAGAAACATTCTCTTGCAGTAAAACTTTGTCCTGCAACAGAAGAATATCTATGTGCATCTTTGAACATGACCAACCAAAGCCCCAACTTTACTGATGAGCTGTAGAATGGACCTCTCATATGGCAGTCTTTTTTTACGATTGTGCAACTCATTCAGCTATCAATAAGAAAAATGCAGCCAATCAAAGCTCTGAACACTAACATAAAGATTTGTAATTTTATCTCTGAGGAGACTTTTTGTTGTTGTTGAAAGCTGAATGTTGAACATTTACAGTGATAACCTTCATTCGACTTGTGGAACAGCAGTGATTCTCTCTGACTGAATGCTCCGGGTAAAATAAGAAGCAGTGCTCATTGGTACGATCGGTTCAGTTCCGTTCAGTTTGGTTGTCAGAGTTAGCCAGATTTTCCTCTATGGAGGGACAAAAGCTACCATTGTGGCACAAATCGAACAAAAACTGACGATGAACTTAAAAAACAAACTTGTTTGTTTTCAAGGCCACGAGTAGGGGGGGGGGAGGGGGCGATAAAGTTGATAAACCAAACTGAACAGAACTGAACCGATCCCTCAACGGGCACCGCCAATAAATCCACATCTCAGAGCAGCCTAGGTGGCAGCATCTGCTGTTGCCGGTGCACTGCTGTCTGGTGCTGGGGTTTTGGGAGAAGGTTTTGGTCGAGGAGGTCCTCTCTGTTTCTTCGGGTCTTGGCCCATTGGTCTAGGAAAGAAACAATTTTTTTTAAATCAATAAATTTGACTTTAAGTCCCAGATAGAACAATTTCAAGAGACTATATTTTGTACAAAACAATATCAGCACATATTTGCATGCATTTATTTCTTCTCACCCGCATTTTAAAAAAATGTGTCATTTTATTTTCTTGATGATAAAAAGCCAGAAATAGAATGAACAAAGAATTCATGAGACCCTGGTTTTGCTTCACTTCTACCAAGCCACTTGATTTCTTCTCTTTAGGCTTTGCTTCTGTTAGGAATGAGGATTTAGGTCATTTTGCCTAAGATTTCATACAAACAAGATCTATTTTCTTTGGTAAGAAAAAAGTTTAGTCCTGTTTGACATTGGGTACAGGTACAGAGTGAGCAAAACAAAATGAAGTTACTTTTCTTTTTTTGCGATAGCCGCAATAGATTTGTGAGATTCAGTCTTTATCACTTTTATTAGGCTTGATCGGGAAAACAAATATCTGGGCAAAATACTAAACAAAACGCTGGAAGTTCCAGGTTTCGCTAAACCCTTTCTTGATGATGAATTAAAAAAGATAAGGAAAGTCAGCTCATGCAGTCAATATATATTGACCATTACATTTCAGCTACAACTATATTTGTAATGATTATGATTACACAACAAGAAACTTATGCACTTTGCACTTGATATCCAGTTTAATATATTGACCATTTCAAGAAAACCATACTAACACAATAAAACATGATATTTTACTAGATATCTAAATACTTTATTGACCCTAACAACTATATTTGCGATGACCATATTAATCCAATACGAAATATACACATTTGGTTTCTAGTAACTATAGTAGCACTTTCAATTATATCTGTGATGAACACACACACAGAGGAAAAAAAGAATGCACTTTATATCTAATTATCGTATTGACCCTAACAACTATGGGTTTTTTTTAGTAGAGGCGTTATAGCGCTCGCAACTGCATAAGGTCATATGAGCGCCAGAAGATAAGAGGTGTTACAAGAGAGTAACAAACATAAAAAAGAAGAAGGGGAGATAAGGACGATAGATGTTTGATAACTAAGAAGAAGCAAACCACACCAGAGCACCAGCCAACCACCCACACAACTATGTTTGTGGAGACCATACGAACACAGTAACAAAGAGTATGCACCTACTATAGTTAAAGATGAAAGAATGAACTGCTGCGAAAATCAGTGTCCAGTTCAAATTTTTAAACTTTAAAATAATGAACATGGCCGTCTATGAAGGTGTTTCTCAAAAACTTATGTTGTAAAGGACCACAAGAATTTCAAATGTTCAAGTAGAACAGATACTGACCTCATGTAGCTCTCCTTTGGCCACCGGACAAAGTAAGAGAAAGTCCACGGATCGGTGACACCCTGAGACTGTCTCATGGCATCTAGCTTCGCCCTGGCATCCAAGTTGTGCTCTCTTCGCTTCATAGCCCACAGACGACGTTTCTCCAGCTCGTCTCGCATTTTCTCCCTCGCTTCTTCTTCGAGTCTTTGGAGCTGGAAACAATTTTTGAAGACCCATTAAAACTGGGAAAACAATCATTGAAAAATATGGGTTCTGCACAAGACTTTGAAACTTTTCCAAGACGGATCCCTTTTTCCTTCTTAAAAAACCCCCATCAAAGCAATATTGCTACCACAACCATGATGGCCCATGATAATAATGAAATCCTGCCTTGTAGCCTAGTGCACCTTTCATATTTTATTTTCAAGCATTTTTTTCTTCTGGGTTGGTTGGGGGGGGGGGGGTGTACAGTATCACTGACTCACCTTGAAAAACCAAAGTTACAGTAAGCTACTATATAATCTGCCAGCAAAAGGAAGGTTGACAGGTACAATACAATTTGACTGGCCACGTAGTAGAGCAAGCATAACATTAATAACAAACATCACTATATCAGAGACTACACCCACGAGTTTGGTTTTACCAATAACAAAAGTTAGGGTGCCTACCTTGTGACTTAGTGGTACAGACAATGTTAGCTCTAACAAAAATAATAATAATATGAACTCTAACCGTGCACATTTTTTAATTGTTGGAAAAAATATTAAGTTCTGAAACATAATGAAACTGACCTGAACCCCCCCCCCCCCAACAAACAAACTCAAATGCACTTTTTATACCTACCAGGGAGAGCTATTTTATAAACATGACCACAAAAAAAAAACCTGAAACAAAAAATTCAGACCCAAAATCAGACTGGGTAAAAGACATTAAAGTTAGTCAAAATTACTGGTATGCAAGAAATGGGAAAGCTGAGACCCACCTCTCTCAATCTTTCCCTTTCTAGTTCTCGTCTGGCTTCTTCCTCATGTTCGTGCTTCATTCTCTCTTCCTCGAGCCTCTTCTCCTCCTCCAGCATTTCTCTCCTGTGTAGAAACAATAAAAAAATAGGTCAGAATAAAACCAAAAGTGAACGATAACTGATCACTTAAGTATGGTCATGAATTTCATAAAAACAGGTTAGTTTTTAAGGTAAGTAAGAGAGTTACGGTACTTGCAACACAAATAGGTCATATACATCACGAGAGACAAAGACTAGAGAAACTTCAGCCTATTGCAACCTGACATTGAATTAACTCTTTGATTCCAGATCACGACTTAAGTGGTGTTTTTGGTTCTGCATTTCAGCGGATTGCCTCTTAAGTGGTGTTTTGGGAAACCTGACTTCGTCAACCCCAAGATCTACATCTGATCCTGTGCTACATTTACCACCAATTTTCACCCACATTATGACTCTCCATCCAATTACAAATAGTTTAAGTGCTCACACAAACAAATCCATCAATATTTGACTGAACTATAACCGTTTAAGGTAACACCTTCCCTGCCTCAAACTGGGTGCGTAAAATTATGGAATCCCTTGTATACAGAAAGAGTTATTGGGCAATAGTCGGACAGCTGCAGGGCTACTGACAACAACAACATCCAATGCCCAGTAGGTCTATGTGAATCTGTGTCTGTGGTAAAATGGTCAAGTTCTTCATAGTTATACCCAGAAGACTGGAGTAATATTCTCATATGGGGAAGTATTTTTATTGAGCATCTCCATCTGTCTGATGCTGTATCTCCACTTAACCCAGGGTTGCCCTGATGAGTAGAATCAAACAAGCCTCCTTCCTTAATTATCTAAATCCCGTTGATAAAAGAATAAAACATTTATAATGATTTACAGATCTGAATGGGACACTGACTGATTTAAGAAACAGAGCTATCTAGATGGGACCCTCATTGAATTTAATATCAGAGCTATGAGCACTTCAAAGTCAAAACTGACCTAGCTTTTTCCTCAGCTTCTCTCAACTGTCTCGACTGTTCCTCTAGCTCCCAGCGTTTTTCTTCAGCAGCTTCCTTCTCATCAATGAGGCGCTGGAAGGCTTCCTCTTCTGCCTAAGGGAGAAAACAAATCGCAAATGTCAAGCTGGTGAATGTGAGAATATGAAAAAACGTCAAACGTGCTAGACAGAAATTTTTTTTCCAGAAATCACAGGGGCGTAAGACAGACATAACCCTAGTTTGAATCCCTGCTGGAGTGTTCTTGGGTTGTTTGTGGAGGTCCTGCCTCTAAAGTGATATTACAGCCCTTATTGAAGGTATCAACACCCTGCCTCTCTCACTCCAGGTCCTATCAACAAAGGTATTTGAGGATGCGAATCAGTAGGTGAAAAGCATGACAGTTCAGCTCACACTGAAGTCTCAGCTCAATGTGTACTGATACTATAATAATATTTAACACACTTGTATAGAGCATATCCCAGCTCAACAGTAAGCTCTATGCATTTAACACTATATTCTTACTTACCCCAGCAGACCATAGAACACTCAGAAATATTCTTGGCCTCCCAGGAAGCATACAGTGCAAACAACTGATAAAGTGCTCAAACACAAACAAAAAGACTAGACCTTCCGCTGTCTATAGCCAGGTACCTATTCCAAACTGGGTGGAGTGAGGAAAATTTGTGAAAAGTGTCTTTTCCCAGGGATACAAAGTTGGGTCCCTGATGGGATTCGAACGGTTGTGAGTTTGAGAGTCTAACCACTAAGCCACCAATGCCACTGATCATACCAAAGTATAAATGAAGAATACTTACCAATCTCTCAAGTTCTCGCAACTTTTCTTCCTCGTCTTCAGCAGCTTGTTGAGCAGCCTTTAGCTCTGCCTGTAAAAATAATCAAACAGAATTTTTGACAAAGAAATTAAGCAGCAAAATTATATCATCATTAAAACAATTTTTTAAATTGGTTTACAAATTTATTATTTTTCAAATCTAATTTTTCAAAACCAATTACTTGCACATGGTGCACCAACACTTTGCTTCCTGTCGTAATTTATGTCGTCAATGCGTACATCTGAAGAAATTGAGAGTAAGAAACAGTTTTTTAAATTTTATAATGATCTGAAAGATTTTAAAATTCATTTCAATGTTTTGTACTTCTTCAACTATAATAAGAGCCACAGCATTTTTAAATACTCAACAAAAAGAAGCTACCCAGGGATTTTAATACCAGTGTCAAAAGTTGAATGGTTTACAAATAATGAGTTGACATAAGACTCAGATATTTTTAAAACTAAACGTGCAGGGCTTTTCCACATAAGTAATATAAAAGTACCATAACATAAAAGTTGTCTCGTTGCTTAGAAACCATGAAGTCAGCAACAGCCCTGTATCCTAGAAAACTGTTGTTTTGAAAAATCCTGGTTTCAGATTTTTTTTTTCAAGACCGAAATAGGTAGATAATAGGAGCGGGCACGAGCCGAGAAGAGTACCCGTTTCTCGCAAGAAATGCCCTTCCCGTCACTTCCTGGGCACTAAACTACTGCCCGGTACCGAGAAGTGATACCACTCGTTGGCTTTACACAACAAGTAATGAGAGTGAGAGAGTGAGAGGTGTCGACGGAAAGAGCGGCACAGCCAGCTAGAAATGACACGCAGACAGTGTCACCCATCACCGTGCCGTCCTGTGTCTGAAACTGAAAGGGAGGGGAGAGGGTGGCGAGATGAGGCGAGTGGGGAGTTGATCAGGGCCTTGGCCTAGGTCTCCCGACCTTCCTTCACCGCCTGCGCCTGCGCAACAGGGTTAGCCTAGTTTAGATCCCCGCCACGGTCTCTCGCTGAGCGAGCTGCCTGAGAACACCGCGAGAAGAGAAATCTTGGCCATGGCCGGCCTTCTCGTTAAACGAGCTACCCGTGAACGGAGCGAGAAGAGAAATTGGTGGCGAGACGAGAAGCATTACTCGGTACCGGGACCGGTCCCGGCGAGAAGTAGGTCAGCTTCTTGGTCTTTTCGCTTGGGAAGAAAAAAGCGCTTCCCGCCCGTCTCTAGTAGATAAAGTATCAAATCTAACTGCTGTTGTACCCACCTCAAACTTCTCCTGGGCAAGTCTTTCTTCCTCTTCCCTCTTGGCTTCCTCCTCTTCCTTCATCCGTCTCGCCATCTCCGAATCAGCAATTCTGTCCAACATCTCTTGTTCTTTCTGTCTGGCTTTCTCAATCATAGCCTTCTCACGTTCCCTGATGAGATACACACAAAGGAAGCAATAAGTTAATTGTCCATAAAACACACTGACAGAGAGACAGAGTTGTATTACCATCTAGTCTTTGGACAAAACAAGTGTACCAGCTACTTGAAACCAAATTTCATGTTTCTACCCTGAATGTACAAACCAAGTGTCAGGTTTCTACATAAAATGCTTTTATGACAACATCTGCAGTTTTGAGATATATATTTTCCACATTAATACAAAACTTCTCTTAACTTATCACACTTTCATTTTTAAACTTTACTTCTTTCTTCTTTTCAACAAAAAATAGCTTTGCATTGAAAAAAATCTTATCTTTGCTAGGGTGATGATGAGTTTAGACATTTTTACTCTTATTTTCTTAGACAATTTGCACCACTGTATGTGGATCAAGGGTCACTCAACCTGCAAGAAGGGCATTCCCAAAAAGTTTATCTGCTAATTTGTTGTCTCAGACCCCAGCATGGCTTGACAGAAAAACTACTTGACCTTCCTATATCTGCGTCTTTGAATAGTGAAATCAGACTCAGAGGGTACAGGATTCCATTATTATTATCTTCTCGAGAGTAACAGTCATCGCTGTAAGATCATTAAACTTCAATTATATATAGAAATTTGAGAGCACTTTTAATGCAGTTCTTTTGCTTTCAGATCAAAAAGACATTTGCATATCGACTGTTTAGATGTAAGACTTCCCCACAGGCTGTTTTGAAAAGTGATGTGACGCGATCTAACACTGAGCAGTCAATATGAAGTAGACATTTTTTCCTGGATTAGACATTGGAATTTCTTTTCATAGAATCTTAGACTTTACCACTTTGTGGCTGACACCATCTCTCCTTCCAGCGAACATTATCCAGTACTTACCTTTTGTCAATGGCATCTTGTTTCTTCTTCTCCAGATCTGCCTTCCTCCGCGCTTCTCTCTCCTCACGTTGAACTTTCCTTACTTCTGCCAGTTGTGCTCGTGCGTCTGCCTCTGCCCTCTCTATCTCCTCCTCCTCCTGCCTCACAGCCTCCATTCTCTCTGCCAGTTCCTGATGACGACAAGAACATTTGCTGAGCTGAAACTTTACACCAAGTCAGCAAGACCAAGGCCACAGTGCTCAGCTCAGCCACTGGCATCCATGTAATTATCTATTGAATATTCTGATTATGAAAACATACTGGCATTCCGTCATGATTTATTTAATACACATCTGATCACGAAAAGAGAAGAAGCACCATTCTATGACCACTCTAACAATTAAAGAATTGTTTGCCAAATATACTTTGTCTTTTCTTTTGTTCACGTTCTTTTGCCTCTTTTTCAAGCCTCATTTTGAATTTTGAATATTGCAATGTATTTTAATCAATAGTTTATTACATGAAACTGAATCCAGAATGAAAGGATGGAAATACAATGAGATGTTCTGAGAACTATGTCTTTATCTCCCTTACATCTAAAAGCAACAAAGATAGCAATCGAATGAGGAAGGTGTGGGAAAAATAAATTCAGTACAAAAGAGATAGCTATTCTAAAGACTTGAGGGGAGAAGAGGAAAGGGACAAAGACTATTCTAATATTGATTAACAAAAAACAGAGAAATGTTCACAGCACCTGAGCTTTTCGCTTCGCTTCCGCTTCCTTCTGCTTTCTGGCATCTTCTTTACTTTTGATTTTATGTTGCAGTTCCCGAACTTCTTCAAGACGTTTCTGATGAGACAAGAAACAAAAATTTTTTAAGTAACATCATTAATTACATGTAAATGAATAAATTTGAATGTTTTAAGCCCCCCCATCTACGCAATTTCTCAAGTGGCCAGTGGGTGGTTGGAGTACAGCCAGTCAAGTTGTGTGCCTTATATCTTTTCACATCAGATTTTTAAAACTTCATTTACTGGATACATCAAACTGGGGGTATAGAATTGTAGCCAATAGTCTAAACAAACACTTTCCAATCTGCTCAAGACAACCACACATCATGGTAGAGAAAAGCAGTCATCTTAGACAGGTGGACCTCTTGGACAGTGTCATAATAATTAAGAGAAGATGCAAATGGGGAGATGAGAAGTGGTTGTTTGTACAGGTGACTGTCTTAGATGGTCGTTAGAGCAGGTTAGACAGTCTAAGGATGGAATTTAAAACAGCTTCACAATTTGCATTCGGGAATTAAACATGAGAAAACACTTTTGAGATGGCATCAAAATGAACCAATAACAATCTATTAAAAAGCAAGGAAAAGGACAAGAAAGGACCAACTCATTCAGGACAGACCTCAGTTTCATCCTAAAAGCACTGCTCACCCCCCCCCTCCCCCCCCTCCAACAGCTGAGTTTTTCAGAAAGCTTCCTTTTGATTAGTGGTGCTATATGGTATAACCAAGACATCTTGAGTACCACGCTGAGTGAGATAAGAAATGATAACATACCTGTTTCTCAAGTCGTTGCTGCTCTTTAATTGCTTCCCTTTCTTTTGTCAAGTCTTTCTTTTTCTCTGCCTCTTCTACTCCTTTCTTTTTCTTCGTCACTGGCGATTTCTTCTCATTCTTCCCTGGCTTCACTGGTGGAGGAGTCTTCTTCTTGACAACAGGCCTCGGAGATACGGCTTCTTCTATCTTCTCCTCTGCTTTTTTAATCTTTTCCTAGAACCAAAAGGAAAGAACGTTACAGACAGGGAATACCTTTTGAGATATATAAAGTGCAGGCAAATGAAAACAAAATTTGAAATCATTTTGATAAATTGCTTAAAGATTGCTTCTTATAACAATGTTCATAACATGATTGTTCGAAAGAAGAGGGAGAGGGAGGAGGCAATCACCCCATCCACCCAAAAGACATTGACAAAGAATCCATTCCTACACCTAAAATACATCAGCATCCGGGTCTTCCTAACCACCCTTCTTCCTCTTCCTCCACACCTTTGACTTTAAAGAAAAAAACATCTTTGTTTAGCATTTTTGCTGTGCTATACCTTTTTGTCTTTGTTTTTCTTCAGATTTCACAGATATGTGTGAGGTAGTATCAGAACAAAAGTCTCTCTGCTGGCAGGAGCTCTGGTGTGGTTTGCTCCTTCTTTCCTATCAAATACATATCGTCCTTATCTTTCTTCTTTTTTTTGGTGAATGTTACTCTCTATAAAACACATAATCTATTCTTCGGCATTTATATGACCTTATTGTGTTGCAAGTGCTGTAAAACTCTGACTAAAACGAAACTTTCTCAGTTGACTTACTCAGCATGTTAACTCCTTGGTACATCATTCTTATTTCATTAACACTCTTGGTAAACTGGTGGGTACATGGTCACCACATTGTTGGGTCTCAATGACACAAGGTTTATCAGGAGAAGAGCTGTTAATACAGTGTATCTTGACTGCACAGGGGCGACAGCCACAGAGGTGACAGTCTGTTAATAGTTCAAATTGGTGTGATAATGTATATATTACTTCATATTGATTATTTGTTTTACCTACGGCCAAAATTGTCCAAGAAGGCTACAAAATATCAAAGAGACAAAGAGATACAAGTGGTTGTCTTAGACAAGTGAACAGCCTGAACAATGTCATAATAATATAGAATAAATGCAAAGGGGGAAGTGGGAAGTGATCATTAGAGCAGGTTCAACTGTATATGTCATTGTAAACCAAATTCCCTTAAGGGGATGAACAGAAGTGGATTACGATTTTTATTTCAAATTTTACCATTAGAGCCTGCTGAGCCAACTCAAAGTCCTCAGCTGACAATCCTTCAGTTCCTTCAGACTGCACAACACTTCCACCCAAGACTTCGTCCATCGCCTCACGCACTGAGATTGGACAAATACATTTTTTTAAAAAGAAAACGATTTTAAAAAGCACATAACGAAACAGGAATGTGAGTACGAACTATTCAATTCCTTCTTTTCAGTTAAGTTGATGCTATTGTGTCCTGAAGTCTCAAAAAAGATTGTTAAAAAGAAGACGCTTATTCGGTCATGAAGTCTTGATGACATCGCAACAGAGATTTTAAAAAGGAGACTTCTCAAACAAAAAGAAGCAATTTAAATAATATGTAGATATGCATACCACAAAGTAATCTAAACATGCAGATATGAATACCAAAACAAAACTCTCTGCTAATCATAAGAAGATACAAATACAAAGACACACATTACACATATACATACAAAGACAAACAGATCCACGCCCACAGTGATACACACAACATACCCACACACACACACACATACACACACACCACTCACTTTTCCCAATCTCCTCATCCAGCTCCTGCTGAGCCTGGTGCTCGGTCTTCCTCTCAAACATTTCCTTCAAATGTCCCGGCACTTCCACTTCCTTCTTCTCCGCCTCTACCTTGGCTGGTGGGCCTTGGCTGGCCATCCACTGTTGGATTTTCTCCACTGGTAAGTCGTCTTTATTCGCTTCTTTCAGCTTCTGCTCAGCAAACAAAACATAAGTTTGAATTACAGTGGGACCTGATCTTACAGCCACCTGCGTAAGACAATCATCTGTACAAACGGCCCCTTCCCATTTCCTCAACTGCGTATTTTATTTCAGTATAATGACACTGTGCAAGACAGTCACCTGTCTAAGATGGCCACTTTTCTCCTCGACAATGGATGGCAGTTTTAGACAATTTTGACAGTATTTCTTTTCCTTCTCGATACATAAAAGTCACGCTGTTCGATACATAAAAGTCACGCTGTTCGATACATAAAAGTCACGCTGTTAGATACATAAAAGTCACGCTGTTCGATACATAAAAGTCACGCTGTTCGATACATAAAAGTCACGCTGTTCGATACATAAAAGTCACGCTGTTGTTATTGCTGTGTGACTCAAAATTGTTTTGTCTTTACTGGGGGTTTATTCTATTGGTTTTTAAAAATATGAAGCAATCTAAACATACATAAATGAACTAAAGGAGGGTTTTTCTGTGTGCTAAAGAGAAGAGTACAGTAATGCTCTAATTCAAAAGTTTTAAAATGTTTTAAAAGTGTACTCTAGTTGTTATCGTGAGGTATAAAGAGTCTTACACCATATCACTATCTCATCCAAAAAATTAAAAAAAGACGACCTCAATATCTAACGAGCCAAGGTCACAACAAACACAATCAAACATCTTGTGCAATGAATTAAAGGCTAAGAAAACATTTTGATTTAAATTATATATAAGGACTAAACGGCAATAATTGGAAGTAAGATCATTCATGTCAAAATAAGTTAGGGCAACAAGGGAAACAAAAAAAACCCCAGACACATATTTACAAATGAAATTTACAATAACTATGTGCATCAACAAGAAAGTGTGAGTATGAGGGTGTATGGGTGTCTGGGAACCCAAGTAAGTGTGAGATTGTGTGTGTTTGTGTGTGTGTGTGTGTGTGTATGTGTGTGTGAGTGTGTAGAAATTTTACGAATAAGCAAAAAGCACAGGGGGCCACTTTTCAATTAGCTCTCTCAAAATAAGTTTTAAAAATGAATAAAAGTAAAAAGAAAGACTGCATTAATCATTGGTGCTGCATCACAATTAAACCACAAACATCAATGATGTAACTGTCAGGCTCTTTGCTTTTACATAAAGAAGAAGTGTGGAAAGATCTTTAATTGAGCATCTCCATCTGCCTGCTAAGATGCTGTATCCTTTTCAATCAGCCTGGGTAGACCCTGGCAGGCAGGTTTGGAGCAGCCCTCCTCTTAAATCGTCTAAATTGTTCTGAAGGGGATTTGAAATATTCATAATCATACAAACCATACAATCAAATCAAAAGTGAAGCCAGAAAAACAGCTTACATCTAACGCATCCATGGCTTTCCCATCAGGCTGCACAGATGAGATATCAAGGGAGTTGACATACTTCTTGCCAGCATCTGCCGATGGTTTGGACGCTTTGGACTCTTTCTTTTTCCCTTTTTTCGCTCGTGACGAGGATGCGTTAGGAGTCTCTTCACTCTCTTCCTTCACTACAAGGCCAGACTAATAGAAAAACATGCAAATGAAAATCAATCAACAATAAAGAAAAACCAACTGATGGGCATAGCTCTGCACTGAATAAAGACCTAGGAAAGAAAAGAAATTGAGAGACACACTGTTTGCCTTTGTGTTTAAGTATGAGTAAGGAGAAATACAGTGATATGATAAAGGTAATCCACAGTAGGGAAAAGGTGAGACAAGACACATAGAAACTAAAGAGGAATAGAAAAGAAGTAAGAGCTACCAGTGGCACCCTCCAATCACTCATCCAGAGGACATTTTGAGAGATGATATTATGATGACAGGTATACAGGCATGGACAAGATGGACACTAAGAAAAGAAATGAAGAAGAAAGACGATTATCGGCAGAGCTTGAATGAGGTCTACTGAGTTGTATGTGAAAATATAGTGCAAACTCAAAAAACAATGGATATTGTTATCAGGGAGTAAAAGGGGCCTATTGTGATAAATATAGAAGAATTTCAGCACTGAATTAGTCATTTGATAGGCCATTTTTTATTTGTAAGAACACTGGGTTGTAGGGTTGGGAAACCCAGGTTCGTATCAATTTTTCAAATTTGCTTCTCTATAGATGCAGTGGTCTCTCCACACCCCGTGGTTTCACCTCACAACAAACACAAATTCCATCTTGGATAGATTCGACTGTACATGTAAAACTTATCAGCAGATGCCCAAGATTCAACTCTGAGTGAAACAAAAGAAAAAACCCCCCAGTTTTACCTGTTCTTGTAACTCCTGCTCCTCCTTTTGCCTCGCCAGTTCCTCAGCTCTCAGCTTGAGCCTCTCCTCAGCTGCCCTTCTCTTGTCTTCGGCTGACTGCTTCTTTTTTTCCTCCTCTTCTCTCTTCAAAGCTTCTTCTTTTTCTTTCATCTCCTTCAACTCTGCTGCCTTTCTTGCTTTTTCTTCCTTCTCTCTAATAACTCTCTCAGACAGCCCTGTGCTTTTCTTCTCCTCCTCTTGTTCCCCTTCGGCCTTGACCTCATCCTCTTTGACCTCTTCAGTCTTGACCTCTTCCTCAACTTTCTGGGAACGTGGTGACTTAGCCCCGACCTTTCGTTCTGCAACTTTGGCCTCCTGTGATGGCATCTCTTGTACTTTTTCTTTTCCATCTGTTGTAGGAGCTGGTTTTCTTGGCTCAGGAGAGGTCTCCTTCAGGGATGGCTCGCTTGGTGCTGGTTCCTTCAACAATGGCAGCACCGGGCTATCTACAGCTTTCTCACCAACCCTTCCTGAGATACAGAACAGATTTGATCAACAGCTTATAAAGAATCTTACTGCTTATTAAGACTAAAATTAAAACAAGAATTAAGTTGTTCACCTTATCTAATCTACAGCATATACTTTGTTCAATCATAGGTAAAGACAAGGCATGAAGAACAGAAGGAATGTTTCGCAACATAACCAAAATGGAACGTCTTTACGAAAGGTGCATTAATGCAAAGAAAAAAACAAAACACAAACAGTGTTTAACAAAAGTGGTAAGTAATTATTATGAAGCTAACTTAAGCATTACACAAAAAAAATCCTCACAAATACATGGATATTAAATAAAAACAAATGTCCTAATTTGGATCAAAATAAATGGTACTTCTTAAAAATCTCTCTAGTAGTTAGGCATTACGACTCACAACTCTAAGGTTGTTGGTTTGAATCCTGTCAGAGACCCAATGTTGTGTCTTTGGGAAAGGCACTTCCCACGAATTTTCCTCACTTCACCAAGGTAGAAATGGGTACCCAGCTATAGATGGTTAAAGATATTGTTAATTTGTTGGTGTGAAACCTGCAGCTTGCACTGTATGCTTCCAAGGAAGTTGAGAATGTTTCTGAGATGTCTAGGGTCTGCTGGGGGGATAACAGTTGTAAAAGGCAAAGAACAAACTGTAGTGCCTGGATATGCCCAATATAAATGCAATTATTATTATTATTTTTATTGTTATTATTATTATTACGAAACTCACCACGAGTTGGCTCTGGTGACATGATCTGGTCCTTATGTAAGGACACCAGCGTGTCGGGATCGGGCGCAGGTCGGTCAGCTGACCCAACAGATGCCGACCCGATCCGAGAAGAGACTCGCATCACACCAGAGTCTGGCAGGACTGAGCTCACCTAACGCAGGAACAAAAGGCAAAAGTGGAACTTGATACAAAATTGAGGTACAGAAAAAGTGGGAAGATATGGAACAATATCAAGAGGTTAGCCCAGGATAGGGAATGAAGAAATGTGTTTGTTCGTGGCCTATATCCTGATGCAAGTTGAGAGAGGCAGTGATGACGATGAACCTAATACATTATCGACACTTGTCATATGAATTATTTTCTTAAATAAAGTCATGTTGCTGATGCTTGGATGGCATATAAGGTTCCTGTAGCCAGCACATTTCAGAAAACGTTCTCTTTAGTTTGTTTTGGACAATCCTGTATTGAAGAAACACTTGGAATTACCATTTTTGTTTCTACCTAAAAAACTTAGATATTTGACATTTCTGCACAAGGCTAGTACAGTACTATCCACTTATTTTTGTCATCTCCCCCACATGGGAACTGAACTCATGTCATTTTTGTGCAACAGCAAAGCGCCTACCAACTACATTACAGGTGCTAATTTACAACAAAATCATTGGAGTAACTTTTTTTTTGCCTCACCAGTGAATAGTCTTGATTCAAACATGTGCCAGATTACACACCAATAAAAAGCCTAAGTAGATATCTTTAGAGGAGAACTTCACTTAGACTTAACTGAAAAGACAATATAATTAAGTTAAGACCCATCATTAAGCAACAAGAGCTTCGACATACCTCTTCAATCAGATCCTCTGGATGCCCACTCAGAGCGGCAGGAGTTCCTCCCCTTGACGCAGCCGTTGGTGAAACTGAGCCTGCTCTGAGCAAAGTCTGTGCATCTAAAAATAGAAAATAGATTTCTCCCTCTCAGAGAAACAATATTTTGAAAGAATACAGTTTTTTCTTTTCTACTGTATGGTTCAGAGACATGGAGGCTCACCGCATCAGCAGCAAGGAAACTGCAGAGCTTCGTAAATGGATGCCTACGAAGGATAGTGGGGATCAAGTGGTAAGATCGAGTCACAAATGCTCAACAGTGGGAGAGAACAAGCCAAAGGCCAGTAAAGGAAGATATTCAGGTGAAGAAATGGAAATGGATTGGACACACCCTGAGGAGACCCCCAACAAGCATCATCAGGCAGGCCTTAACATGGAACCCACAAGGAAAGCGTAAGAAGGGAAGACCTAAGATGACATGGAGGCGAGCGGTATCAGCGGAAATTGAAAAAGCGGGGACATCATGGAAGCAGATAGAAAAGGATGCTCAGGACAGGCTTAGTTGGAGTAATGTTGTTGATGGCCTGTGCTCCACTGGGAGTTAAAAAGGGCAAGAGAGAGAGACAGTTTTTCTAAGATTAACAACAAGTAAAAAAGACTCCCCCCAATATAATAAAAGGTTTTTTTGGTCGTGTAAAGCACAGTAAATAATTGGATTTGTTCTTTTTTTTGTTTTTGCATCACCTTAAAAAAATTTAATGATAATTGTTAACCATTTTTGGTAACTTGTACAGGAGCAGGTCAGAATGACAATTAATGAAAACTTGAGAAAGTTAAAAAAAAAAGCCTGAGGGAGATTATGAGAATTACTAAGAAAGAAAACCGGTTAGTGAAAAAGGCTTGCACGAGAGGTACGATAGTCTTTTATTTCCACATGACAAAAGTTTGTGTGACTTGACAATAATAAGCCTTAAAATAGCAGCAAGAGTAAACCAGGTTCCCGTAACCTATCTACTGCACATACCTGTTGGTGTTGCCACACGCAGGGTACTTGAGGGCTCCACGGACCCAGGACGAGACGCCCCTGCTCTGGACTCTGGCCTTGACCCTGCAAACAATTAACACGACAAAAACACCTGTTATTCTCTTTCTTCTTCTTCTTCTTCTTCTTGTACCCCTGCTAAATCTAAGGGAGTAACTGATTGATCTAAACCCAGTAAACTGGGCTCAGTCTCTACCTCTACCCCTCAGGGTATCAGAAACACACCCAAGTTTGTGGTGATATTGTAAATCTGACAGTGCAGTTCATTGTACATACATGGTTGCTTTACTTACGTAGAACATAGAATCATCCCTTGCCTACAGGCAGCCATGTGATGTCCTCAAAAGAACTCTTAATAATTTATACTTACAATGGTGGCTTCAGTTTTAGGGCAAGAACTGACTTTGAATTTTGTCCAGATTGTGGCCCAAGGGGCCTACTCATTTCAATTTTAAAACCGCCAAGGGTTCTTTAACATACCAAACTTTTACATGGGATCTCCAAAATCTTTAATTCATACCCAAGAAGACAGGGTGTTCGATCTTACTTACCCTCAGATAAGAGAATGTAGAAAATATGAGGAAAAAAAATAACACTGATGGAGATTGGACTGTGGACATCCGGGTTGACAGGCAAACAACATACCTGTTGAGCTACTGAGCCCCCTTTTCTTGTCATTATCTTTATATTTACAGTGATGAGTATGGAGTCAAAGCGTTTTTCCATATTCTCAAATTTAATGGGGATTCAGTAAGTCTAGGTCCTCCAGCAGGCAGGAAGAGCACATATCAAGAGACAAAGGCAGCCATCCAAAAAAGATAAAAGAGGTGCCATAGATTGATTGTACACAGTATGTAGAGTGGTTACCTTGAGGTGATATTCTTGCTAAAAGTTCGTCCTCTTGTCCTTCTCCTGATGGCGTTGTGAGCCCATCTTCACGTCTCATGACACCTGAATAGATAAATAACTATAATTATACTTTTTAATTTTTCCTGCATTTTTATGCTATATATAGTAAATGACATATGAGAGTTTAACATACAATATGTAATATAAGCCACTTAAGATTTCTTAAATTTGTTGTATATCAATCAAATCCACGACGAATGTCAGTCTGGTCAAATCCGCGAAATGGAGTTCTTGTCCTTGGGTAGGATAAGAAGCTGTCTGCCAACTAGGTTCTGTACCATAGTAGACACACTTGAAATTATAAGTTGATGCCTCTGCACTACCTCTGGAGTGTTTATGGGAACATCAAACCCATACCATAACATTACAAAAGTCAGTATTTAGACATGTCGCTTATTCTGTACCCGACTCCAAAGCATAAACTAGTACTTCACCACAGAACTCGGATTGTCTTCCAGTTTTATATTTTAAAAAACTGAATGAAGAAGCATATAGAGCAAGCAGCTGATTGGCCCTGTGGACTGACCTAATCCACTATCTACACCTTTAATCTTCTGATAATTGGATACATGCCTCAGTGTGTGAAAGTGTAAAACTAGACGTTGGCTTAACGGACCTCAGGTCCACGGGTCCTTTAAGGACAAGGGTTAACCCTTTGAATCCTGGGCGTCCTGGTTCAGGGAGAGAGCACTTCATCAAGAAAAAAACTAAGTAAGTCTGTACAGAATGTGATCAAAACATGTGTAGAAGGGCGCAGAAATAGTATCTCATAATAGCATGTGAAAGAAACTAGCGTTCTGATTGATTGAAAATAACTGCCTTTTTCTGCATGACATTTCAGTGCTTTTTCCTAACATCAGTGAACTGATGCTGCCGATTATTGTTGCTGAAGCCCACCACCAGTGTGCGGTCTTCTAGGCCAAGGGTTACCGTATCTACCTGAGTAAGGTGGCTGTAGAGGCTGTGCTACAGCATCCTCCATCTCTTCTGTCTGGTTCGCCTCATCCACACGAGGAAGTGGCGTCTTGCTCCTATAAAAGAAGAAAAAAATTGTTTTAATGTTAGTGTTTTATGCCTCTATTAACACAAGTTAGATTATTAAGGAGGCAGGCTTCTGACCATGTCTGTCAGAGCCAACCCATGCTGAGAGGGATACAACATCCCATCAGAATGACTGAGATTACTATAGAAATTCTCCCCACTTGGGAATCAAACTCGGGTCTCCTGCATGTGACAGCAAAGTGCCTAACTACTACACCACAGATGCCAATCTTGCATAAGAGAATTGATGTGGATCAAACTAAGCATGATAAAAGGACAAAATAACAGAAAACTATACAATTTGTCGCTCAATCATTCTTTTGTTTTTAATCTACTTTATCTCCCATTTTCTCCCACATTCATTTTCAATATGTGATTCACTTATGGGTATTATGGAAGTAATTTCTACTGTGACCCCAGCAAAACCAGCTAAAAAAGTTGCCAGGCAGATGTTTATATTACTAAAGAGAAAAAAAGGTTTACACAAGTAAAACTTAGGAGTCATTCCACATGCAAATACATTTTAGGAAACATGTAGAAGAAATAATTACAGAAGAACCTGCTCTGATGACCCCCTGTTTAAGAAAATTACCAGTTTCCATTTCCCCCTAGCATTAAAAAAAAAAAAAAATAATGACACTGTCCAAGAGGACTACCTGTCTAAGAAAACCCTCAATAATAGGTAGTCATTTTCGATAAGTTCAACTGTTCTTCCATACAACCTGATGTACGCTCGTACAGAACCATGACTTAAACTACTGACCTCGACGACATGGATGACATCCTTCCAGTCTGTCCCTGTTCTTTCCCTGGCCACTGAGCCCCGTCCTCCATAGCCTCTTCCTCGTCAGATAGATTATCTGTCCAAACAATAAATTCAATAGGCTACATAGACTGTTCTGAGGTAAAAATAAGCAGATCGACTGGGATAGTGTGAGACTGTCATACTTGTATGTCACTTTTCAAAACAGCGTATGTTGGAGTCTTACATTAAGTAGTCAAGATGCTACAATTGGTTACTTAATGCTACTAAAAAGTAAGGTAGAGAGAGTCTGAGTTTTTAAGGTCCGAAGAGAAACACATTGACAAAATATTGGTCATTATGTGTACAGGAAAAGCAGGACAGACAGAGACAGCAGAACAAAATTGAAACAGTAGAACCTGTCAGTGGTGATCTCTAACCATCCACAGCTTCGAACCAAAGTTTTCAAGACAAGGGGAAGGAAATCCAATCTAAACCCAGGGCAATGGTTGACAAACAAGTCTATGTCATTTTCTCCCCAAATATCTTTTTCCACTAATCTCCTGGATGTTCCCCCCCTTCCACCTTCTTTGAGACCCGACTCCCTGAACCATACAAGACGTGTGCGCCTGAGTTCCCTTACTTTGACAAAAAGTTTGACACCAATGCAAGCTGAGCCTTGAGTAAATAATATCAATAATGATAATAATAATAATGAAGATATGATGATGATGATTCGATGGTAAAGGTCGAACTGAAGCAAATGTAAAAGCAAGAACCGCCAAGGCAAGGTCAGCATTCAATCAGTTATCAAAAGTCTGGAAAGCAAGCAACATTTCACTGCGCACCAAGATTCGACCCTTTAATTCCAACGTCAAGTCTGTGCTCCTCTACGGCTATGAAACTTGGAAGACAAAAAAGACATTACTGAATAAAGTCCAGACTTTCATCAACAGATGTATGAGGAGTATCCTAAGAATTAAGTGGCAGGATAGAATAAGAAATAAAGAGCTGTGGGAAAGGACAGGTCTAAAAGGATATAGAAGTAGAAATAGGACTAAGAAAGTGGCGATGGATGGAACACACCTTCAGACAGCCCAGCAGAAACATCAAAAGACAGTCGCTGCAGTGGAACCCACAGGGAGCACGAGGCAGGCGTCGGCCACGAGAAACATGGAGGAGATGTGTGGAAAAGGACATGAGAGAGGTGAAGCTCACTTGGAACGAGCTTGGAAGGATGGCCCAGGACAGAGATAAATTGAAGGAGCTTGTAAGTGGCCTATACCCTGCCAGGGGTGGAAGGCATTGATGATGATGATGATGATGATGATGATGATGATGATGATGATGATGATGGTGATGGTGATGGTGATGGTGATGGTGATGATGATGATGATGATGATGATGATGATGATGATGATGATGAGGATGATGATGATGAAGATGATGAATATGATGGACGATGACGACCCCAACGACTACGATGATGATGACTATGATGATGATGATGTTTACAATAAAGATCAGAAAGCAGAAGGATGAAGGAAGCGCAAGCCAATGCATGCTCCAGGTTCTGAAGGGCTAAGCCTCGTTTGAGTGAGCTGCATCCAGACAGACAAAGACCACAAAACGAAACCGTCAAGCAAATAAACACCCACCGAGAAGATGATCCATATCCTCCTCCTCTACCAGAGAGGACAACACACTAGCAGCCTCGGCAAGCATGGCGTCCCGCTCTCCACTTCTGTCGCCCCTGGACGGAGTCCGGGACCGTTGTGAGCTGGGCGTGTGTGCCCTGCCTCGCTCTAGCGTCCGCACGTCCAAGTCGATCCCTGACACTTGCGACTGGATATCGTCGCTGATGAAAGAGGTGTCTCCTTGACCCTCTATATCCACCCACATGGGTCTCGCTGAATCTGTCAGGTGAACAGAAAATAATAACAATAACAACAATAACAATGATGATAATGATAATAATAATTATTATTATAATAATAATAAAAATAGTAATGATGACGATGAAGATGATGATAACAGCAACAATAATAATATAATAATAATATAACAATAATAATAATAGTATTAGTAGTAAAAATAGTAATAATAGTAATAACAGCAACAATAATAGCAACAATAACAATAATATAGTAGTAGTAGTAGCAGCAGCAGCAGCAGCAGTAATAATAGTAATAATAATAATAATAATAATAATAATAATAATAATACTAACAATAACAACAGCAATAACACTTATAACAATAATAATAACACTATTAATCCTAATAATGAGAATAACAATAATAATAATAGTTAATCTGTCAGTGCCTGACAATGACCAATGCGTCTGCAGAGGATAGTACATGTGTTTCATAAGTAAATTAGAAGAAATGAGGGTTAAGATGACTTGTGGTTTCTGCTTTGGCAAATGAAACCAATGAAGAGAAAGATTGCAATCCACGGGGAATGAGACCAAGGGGAAGGGCGCGTGGAACTTGGGGACGAGTCACAGAGAATGATATACAGAAACGTGGGATGACGTGGAATTATATCAAAAGGATAGCCCAAGGATAGGGAAAGGTGGGAAGCGTTCGTCCGTGGCCTGTACCCTGACCCAGGGTGGGAATGAGAGTGATGATGATGAAGTTGAACGTTGTGTAGGGCTGGGAAAGCTTCGACTGCCAGGGCCAACTCGGGCTGAGAGGAATACAATATCCTTGCCCCTTATGCGAGGATTGAACTCGCGTCTTCAGTATGCAATGGTCAATCGCCTATCTATTACACCACAGACGTCTGTAAAGAAAGTGAGTTGTGCCAAAGGCGCTATCCAAAATATCAACACGATATAGGAGACGCACTTTTAGTTTTAACAGAGAGCTTTACGGAACTTGCAATACAATTATAATCAGGCCATATGCGAGTAAGTGCCGAAGATCAGAAGTGCTGCAAGAGTGAAACAAACACAAAAAGAAGGAGAGATAAGGACGATAGGTGTCTTGACTGGAAAGAAGGAGCAAACCACATCAGAGCACCCGCCAACCACCCACAAGAGGAGACGTACACCACAGCGAAAACTGCACCCTTTACTGGCAGGGCGAAGGACTATTCCAAATCCTAATGCATTTACCCGTGATACGGCTTCAGACATTTCTAAACTTAGCGGGTAGCTGGAGCAAAGAGTTGGAGGGTGCCACTGATAGATCCTCCTACTTATCGTTCCCTCTGTTATTTTAGCCTATCTGTCCTGTTTGTTGCTGTATTTTTCCTACACTAATTGACCGTTATTGTTTTAATGTGAATTTCTTTATTAAACAAGCAAACAAACAAAAACAAATTAGGCACTGTCAAGAAAAATGTATGTTCTCACAATTTTCATGGTCTGTCTGTCTGTCTCTCTCTCTCTCTCTCTCTCCCTCCACCCCCTCTCTCTCCCCCTCTCCCCCCACTCTTCCTCTCCCCCTCTCTCTCTCCCCTTCCCCCC